CCTAACTCCTTCAATGATACCAGCACGTCAAACACACTAGAGATTCACTCAGCAATAACCTTGTCTCTCAGAGCTTGTCTCTGTAGGCGATCGTAACAGAGTGTGCTTCATTCAAAAAGCTGAGCAAAAGTTCACAAGAATAATCACTTTTTGCTACACAAACCCCTTATAGTACAGAGTCTGATTTATAGTCAGCGAGCTGTCTGATATTGATGCTGGAACACACATCACTGCGTAGAGCTGCGCTGTGTGTACCATACAGCACATGAGAATTCAGCTGGCACTGCTCAAAACATTCCTCCGACAGACCACACAAACTAACCACTGTATGCTGCTCAAAGGCTACAGCGGGAGCTACAGAGAGCCCAAAGAAGGGCTGCCACTTCCAGTGGCAGGGGAAATACAGCTGGTTTGGTAGATGAAGATGACATGGTCGGACAAAGAAGTGAAGACAGACAAAGTAATGAAGACTTGAATGTACACTTACTGAGTTGAGCGTTAAAGTTTGCTCCATGTAGGGCGCCGTGTGAGTGCTTTTAGTCTTCAGCACTGCTCAACACGCCTGGTGGGTATAAAGGGGTCCATCCGCTGGAGCTCTGCGGCGTGTGTGTTCGAGAGTTTGCAGCACGGAGAGGCAGATTTCAACGGGGGAGGAGAAATCATGCAGGAGACCCAGCAATCCTGACAGCTACTGAGAGTTCAAAAGCTCCCTCTCGCTTCCCCTGTTGCCGGTTCCTCTCACCCTCCCTCTCGTACCCTCCTCCTTCTCCTTGCTGTGAATTCCTCCTCTCTGTTTACCTCCCTCCCAGTCTATGTCTCTTCATGCCTTCTCATGGTTTTTGAAACGCCCACAGGACAGATCTATTACCCACAGGCATGCAAACAGGAGCTGCTAATATCTTCACACCTAAATAATGAAACTTTAAACTCATGGAGTAAAAAACGTCTTTGTTTTTTAACTGCATTCCACCCGGTCCTTTTTTGCCATACTGTATAAAGAGGTGTGCACTGACTATGTCACATACACAGATGTTTTCATAGGCAGCAGCATAACAGAAGACTGAGCAAGTGTGAAAACAAACACAGCGAGATGCTAATGGTCTCATCTTCTCTGTTAGGTTGCAAAGCATCTGTTCCAAGATAGAAAAAAAATCATCTGTGATGAAGAGGAAATTGGCGTACAAGCGTTGGAGTGGAACTGTGGGATGTGGGGGCATTTTCAGTCGTGCGCTCTTTAGAAATAAGACAGGTTGCTACAAGGCTGCACATTCTACAGCATGCCCAAACATAAGAGGATCTGGCGGCAGAAGATCAGTGTTCACTCAGACACGTCATCAAAAGATGTAGTCTGAAAATAATGAACACATAAACAAAGTCTCTGCTGAGACGGAAGCGCTCACAAATAAAATTGTGTCCAAAGGCAAAAGATGATTTGCACACTATTCTGACGGTGCGTGGGATGTAAAGCTACGTGTTGGAGCCTTTGTAATGGGAAGAAAAATAACAAGCATTTGCTGATTCCTTTACTGGCCACTGTGACGCACACCGCCGAGCACAGTGTCCAAAATTGTTCTGTGTTCATCTGCAACATGCAGCAAGGCCGCACACAAGGGTTATCCACAAAAGGTCAGTAACAAGCACTGACGATGAACTGGAAGAGAGTCTCATGGTGTCCTTGGAAGTCCAGATGCTGAAAGACTCCGAGCTTATCATGGATTTTGTTCTTTCCTACCCTGAGAATAGTCCTTCAGAAGAATCCTTACACAAATAAATGTATAAAAAGCTGAACTTGTTCTTACCATAACTGAATAGCTATAAATAGAGAGTCTTATAAGATCAGCTCTGAATATAGTGGAAAAAAGTTCCCAGGACTGAGAGTCAAGGTAAATGCTCTATGAAGAACCCACCTGGTTCTATGTCACGTTTCACAGATAAAACTTCTTTAGACATACACTGTGGTGGTGGGATTCCCAGGGGAGATACTTTGAAACAGTTTTGCTTTGTCATGGCTGAACTCTGACAGAGTCAGAGTGAAACTTGAAATCAGAGCCCCAGGGCCAAATGCTAGGTGAGGATTCAGTTGCATGTACCAGACGAAGCGTTCCCTATTGTTTTTTTATTCAGAATGTATCGGTCTACCATAACCCCAAACTGCACGTGTTTAACCTGTTTCTCCATGAGACGAAGTCAAATGCATCATGAGAAAAGTTTTTTTTTTGGTTTCTGTCCCGCAGGAAAAACCTGAGAACCCAAGTTTAGGAAACAGAGAGTGAAATTATTAAAGAACCTGGACATAAACATAAAAATGTGTGTTTTACAAGGTAGTCAGAAAATAGTAAGTATATAAAAATTACACTCTTCCTCTATTAAATGGTAATTTACGTCTATTACACAGGTCACATGGGTTATTATATGATTGCACTTGGACATGTGCATGGATATAACATGTTAACATTTTATTCGATGTTGTTTAAATAATATCTGGAAGTACATTGAGCTTAATAATAATTGCACATATTTAATTGCCAATCGATGCAGAATTATCTGTAGAGGAGCCATGAAGTGTTTTTCCCTCTGCTTTTTATTGTTCTTTTTCCTCAAACTTTTTTCTATTTTTATTTTGTATTTGTAGCATTATCTAAAGTCTTTTTTCTATTGTATGTGAATGTACAGTCATTTTCTGGACTCCCTCTCCTCATGTCAAACAACCCCTGCCTTCCTTAGCAGTTAAGCCATTTATACTTCGTCAAGTCATACATCAGGGGATGGTTATACACACAATACAGATATTACCACCAAAAGGTTTGCGTTTTTGACTATGCAACAAAACAAACTCAAAGGTGTTAAAAAAAGAAAAACTTCACACAATTCGACCATTGTGAGAGCATGCTGCTCACCAACACATTAGTGATATTTTGTCACGTAAAAATGTCTGTGTAAAAAGAGAGCAGCAACAACAGCATCCAGACGCATCACACTCTCTGGACATTTAACTCTGAGCAGAGTCATATCTTTTAGGTTTGCTGTCCAGACATTAGAACAATTAGTAAATTAGTTTATGTCTAGACCAGACACATTTACGGAACATGCAAACAGAAACTGGAGGATGTTTAGGTGAAAAAAACACTGGTACCATCAACAACTGTGCTGTATTGTCACACACATTATTTTGTGTATTTTCTGAGCAAGTGACCACGTCGTAGGTTGGAAAAAGAATAATAAGAATAATAAACAATAATGGACATTTGCAGTTTGACAAACCTCCAGGACAACTTCAGGAGGAGGGTGCATGCTTTAGTAAAAGTAAATTGGTAGCTATCTTTAGCAAGCCTTAGCAGGAAGTCACAACCACAGTGACTAAATATATTGACTAGGATTAAAGGGATCTTCACAGTTTGGCCAACTTAGAAGAAAAAAAGAACATAAAATATTATTTGGACTTATTATTACAAGAATCTCATGTATTTAATAGAGGAATAACGCAAGAATCTAGAGAGCGAAACCAGGACCTTTCATCAGTCACCACCACATTTTGGTAGTAAAGCTAAAACAAAGCTTTGTGATAGGGCTGGGCTACAAGGTCCAAAAATCATTTTGTCAATCATTTCAGTTAAATCATTATATTTGATATAAATCTTTATAAATTACAAATGGATTTTATTTTAAATAAACAGATAGAAACAGGAAAATTACAATCAAAATTATTTAATTTATTAATTAATTTAATGAGCTGTAAACAAAGTGCTTCCCCATGTGTTCTGATATCTATAGTTTTGTGAGCTAACAATAAACGACAGTTAAAGTGAAAAAAACATCATCACAACAGTGTAATTTAGTCTGGATTGGCTGTACTAAGCGTAACACTTTTGTTACTGCACCTTTTGAAATTGAGTTATGGAATAGACTTGTAGTTGTAGTAAACATTATAGTTGTAGTAAACCTCTGTTTTTTTTATTCTTGTGAATGAATGTTTTTTAAAAAAATAGGTGATGGTTAAGGCCTACGAGTTATCACATCATCTCAGCTGTGAGCAGAAGAAATATTCAAAATGGCCCTTAAAGATGCTACATGCTTTTAACATGCATGGATTATCTCAGAATTCAGAAGCAACAAGAAGAACAAAAGCAATGGAGGAAAAGTATTTTTTCAGGATAATTTTAACATTTCTGTGAAATTTGATTTTTTTTATCATTTCTGACAGATGCAACTAAAACTCAAGTGTGACTTATCTAAAATATACAGTAGCCTCATTCTATACTCTGTCTCAAAATATCAATACATCATAATAACTCAATATCTCAGAAGCATTTCAGCATGTGGACAATCATCTGCTTTGAGACTTTCATGTCAATGACATTATGTGATGGCTCGGCCTTGAGGAGCGCAGAGCCCCTTTGTACACAGTGTGTGGTCCACAGGTGTGTCAGAGTGGGCGACTAATGTGTGGGTATAAAATGTAGAGTCAGTGGTTCCACTTTCTGCTCTGCTTTCATGTCAGTTAATGCCAAAGCAATTGTGGTGTGAATTGGAGTGCATGTGTATTCTTGTGAATGTAAATGAGTATGCACATGGCGATGATAGGGGAAAAAGAGAACTCCACAGCAACAGCATTAATGTGAGAGAATGCAAGCAGGATATTCAGCGGTGCAGCAGCGCTCATTAGTGAGACCAAACAAACAGGGCCGTGCCTCTGGGCCCCAGCACAAAGAGCACTTTGTCAGTCACTCTAGGCACAAATGTGGCAGCAAAGGCAGAATTCAATGCAAAGGAAATGGAGTTTAGGAAAAAAAAAGATCTGCAAGTGGAACGGAATTGTTCACAAAGGTTCACCTGAGTGCTCACAGTACTAAAGTGGCCAAAACGTTCTGCATACAGGAATTTGACACTTTGAGGCTAGAAAAGAATGTCATTTTAAAATAACTTGTCGAAATTTAGTTCTAATTCAAATCAAATACAAGACTCTCCAGGAACTGACAATAGTAGATGTGTCAAGTAAGTACCTCAAGGTCATCTAGTGACCGTGCCATGCTGAGACGTTGGGCTGAGCGTCGTTTGGAAGAGCGGACAAAACCCCTTCCCCAAAACCTGGAGGCCTGTGAAAACAAGTCAGACATATCAGTCAACACACAACAGCAAGGATAAAGGCAGGTTAACTATGTTTGTACAAGCTGATTTGTATTCCACAAAACACTGTGCAGCACCAGCACCTTGTTACTGTAATTAAATTCAAATTAGCATTGAACTGATTGAAATTTATTTTCTGACGATCGTGTTCAGCTCATCAGTGAAAGTGGAGCCTGGAACAAATGTAGGACAAAATACTTTTTTAAAAAAAGGAAAGAAATGGGTATTTCCATAATGATTTATATATTTATTTGTCATGGCTTAAATAGGTATTTATAATGAAGGTCATAACACAGAATGTAATTAAGTCATACAGTGTGAGTCAGAAGTGTTTATCAAAGTTGTGTCGTAAATGAGAGATGGATTATTTTAGCTTGCCTTGAGTTAAACAACTGGCCCCGTTCTTCTGATAAGAGACGCTGTATCTAAAGGTTTACAAAGACTTGAGAAATTGCAGATAATTACCACGGCATGACATGGGGCTCTACCCTGTAATTTGCCTAGATTTCCTGCACAAGATTGGTCCCATTCTGATCTAATAGCTGAGAGAAAAAAAGCTCTCATAAATCAGCTCTGAAAAACACCAGAAAACAGAGTGCTAGTTTATACAAGGTGGCAACTATGGTTAATTGTGTAAATTGGTAATAAATAGTTAAAATAAAACAATGGTTCGATCCTCAATTTTAAACTACTGTAAAGGACAGAAGGAAACAAATACAGAGACCCGCGGATTCTCTCTGAGCTTCATAGAAACACAGGGACATCTTGTGGCCAAAGTTGGAAGCAACACCAAGACGACATGAGAGGGTGGGTAGTAACGAATTACACTTACTCCGTTACATTTATTTGAGTAGGTTTTTCAAAATAAAATACTTCTAGGAGTAGTTTTAAATCACTATACTTTTACTGGCGTAGATTTATGAAGAAAAAACAGTACTCTTACTCCGCTACATTAGGCTATACTGAGCTCGTTACTCGTTACAAAGATACTGGATAAAGCTTTAACTATATTCTCTATTCTCTATAGATCCATGATCCAGTATCTCTCCTTTTATTTTGTCAGCGAGTGACTTCCGCCCAAGGCTCTACCGCGCGACTGTGACCAATGAAATGTAGCCCTTGCTGCGCGGTCTCGTCACGTGACCTGACTCGAGCTCTGTGGCGGGACGGATAAGTTTCGCGGTCAATATCCACCACAGCAGAAAATGGCGGAATCAACGGTCAACAATGCTGACAAAGACAACGAGGTACACCTGTGTCCTCGTATTGAAAGTGCGTTTACGTTACAAACAGTGCGAAACAGCGGTTTCATCGTGCGGTGTCTTCTGTGTCGGCCCAAACAGACGGATATTTCAGCTTTAAAAAGCTTATCGTCCAACCTAAACAAACATGTTGCTGTAAGTTTGACCAACAACTCTTTTTTTTCTCTTTTTGCTGTGGATAGACGAAATGTTTGTCCTGTTTAGGTTACATGGGTACTCTGTGCTGAGCTCGATCTGCTTGTAGCCTCAAACACATGTTTTTTATCCACAGGTCCAGAGGTTTTGGAAGTTTTTTGTTATTAGCTCAGCACGAGTCGTCTGTTGAAGTAGCATTATTGTACCTGGATTTAGGTGACACAGAGAACAGTCTCACCAACACCCACACAGTGTTTGGAAACTCAACCCTCCATAAACATTTAATACTTCCTGCTGTGGCAGTTTTTGAACATGAGTGGACTGCAGACACAGATGCTTCTGTCTTAGTATTACTAGCTTAATTCGTTTTAAGAGAAGCCTGTAATATACATTGTGTTTTTTACAAACACAACTCCCCAAAATGCCACTAAACTTTACTTAAAATACGGTATTTCCTACTAAACTGCTATGCTGAAACACTGGACCCAATCACTTGTACTGGAATTCCTCAAGGCAGACATTTACCCCCCCAAAGAGGGAAAAGAAAGTGAGTGAATATTTCCCACTGTGGCACAAATATAAAATGTGAAAAATGAACTCTGAATCCCAAAACATATACTGCTACCTGCTTTTGTAAAATAAACATACCACTATACTCCCAGTGTTCCAATAAATAAGACTCTTCGGTATAAGATTCTTTGGGTATATTTTAAGGAACTACCATGAAGGAAATCAGGTCAAATCAATTACATGCCTTCAGGACAACCAATGTAAATGTAAGTAATGCCAGGGAAGAAAAAATTGAATCTCAGGAATTTTATGAAAAAAATCTGAAAATTAAATAAATACATTTTTGTAAAAAGTTCTAGGCTTCTTCTTGTATTGAGTGTATAATAAAGCAGCTCATGTGTGTTTTACTTGTATCTTCTCCTCTATCTTGTAATATAATATTTTATTAGAAGTTTACTCACATTTTTGGTACTGTTGTCCATGTACTGTTTTTCTCTCTGCTCCAGAAACCTTCTGGTCCACTCCTCTCGGGGAGGCAGCATCTTGACCTCTGCTAAAGGGTACCTGTCTGAAGGAATCTGATGCATTGGGGGAGGCAGGTTATTTGTGCCTGAGCCAAGATTATCACAGGAGGAGCAGTTTTTATTGTTGTTACTTAAAATAACATGGGTCGTAGGGTCACTATTCTGAGCTTTGGGTCTCTTTGGTTTAGAGAACCACTTCTGGCTGCTTCTGAAAGACTCCCCCAAAAAGTTTGTCTTTTTACCCAAGGGTGAGGGAGGTGGAGGGGGCTTAAATTGGAATTTAAGTCTGGGTGGGGGACCTCCGTAAAAGCCTGTAAGTGAATCAGGACCTGGTAAGGACTCTGAAAGAGAGTGTGTGCTAGAGCTGCTCCATGGATTAGGTTTTTGGTCATGTTCAGATAGGTTAATTGGCGTGAGGTCTTCAGCATGAGGATAATCCCAAGGACAGCTGGGGAGGTGGGCCTGAGTACGGACATGGATTGAAGGAGGAAAATCCCTTCCTGCTCTTTCCTCAGGGGGAGACCCATTTCCAATTCCACTGTCGGTGTTGCTGCTCGAACTGCCTTTTTTGCCAGTGCCATTGTTTTTCTTGTCTTGCTGCTCAGCCTCCCTGTCCAGTTTTACTCTCAGCCTTTCCACAGCCTCCCCCAAGTCACTGTACAGGACAGTGACAAAGTGAAGGACATCTGGTGGTGTCTGAGGGAATTCCAAACAACCCAAAGCATCTGGATCTGGGGTGCAGTCAAACCCAAATCGCCCAGCTATTCCTTTGTGCTCTTCATGGTTTCCCAGCTCCGGGTCAATAAAGAACACGTGGCAGGAGGTCTTAAGAGGGCCATCCTTAGGTACATGGCCATCTGTTACGTGTGCTGTAGTGACCAGACAAAAGAACCTTGGATCTTCAGCACACACAGCCCCTAAAACGAGGTTTTCAGCAGGTAAATCTGCCAAAAAAAGCTGCCAAAACTGCCCCAACGTCATCACAAAGGCGGATACAGTCAAACATGATTTTCATTATCACCAGACTGTGGGTTTCCTGCTCAGTTCCCAACTGTCGGATTTGCTGCCGGATGGCTTTTAAACAGCCTTCTTCCGACTGTGCAGTGTTCAAAGTCAGGTCTGTGGAGCTCAGGTAGCCAACCACCAAAGTCATGTTTAAAACACTCCAGTCTGGGTTAGCTTCTTGTGGCTCTGTGAACACAGAATCAGTGTAATCCACTCTGGACCTTTTCTCATTCATCTGCTCAGCTAAAACACTCCACTGCTGTGACCAGTGGGACATGTCAGGCTCAGACACGGGCCTCTGTTTTATATTGACAGCATGAGGTGTTTTAAGGGCAGACTTGGTTAAATCATTTGAGATAGTGCGAAGTACAGTAGGCTTCTGGAAAACACCATGTTTAGGGTTTATCCCAAACATGAGATCATTAATGATGGGCTTCTCTGTAACTCTGCTGTCTGTGTGCACCACCAACCGCAAGGGTCCTCGGCAGCTGCCAATGATACGCACAATATTCTCATGTGAAGCCGAGGACACGTCCATTCCATTGACAGACATAATGCGGTCCCCTTGTTTGAGTCCCACCTGGTCAGCAGGACTTCCCTCCAAGATGCCACTTAACAAACATGGCCTTTGTCCTGAAACAGTAAAACCATATCCTGCCCGACCACGGAGGACCTCAAAGGCTCTGAGTTCATCCACCGCATTCAAATCCAGGCGTCTCCTTGCACCCTCAGGCTGTCCCTGGATCCTCATATTTTTTCTTGTAGACTAACACTGGTGGGAACTGGAACACATGCAGCCTGCCAACGCTATTGTGTGGCATTCATCCTGTAGTAGAAAACAAATGGAAAAAGCTGAAAAGTCATTCCCCAGTGTACAAACACCTGATAGAATGAAACCATGTTGTGATTTAGTGAGTTAAACAGATGTAAACCTTTTCAAAAATATTTACTTAGAGCTGCAACTTCTGACCATCTTAAATATTATTTTTTATGATTAATAAAATGTTGTTGTTTTTAAGTTATCATAAATATAACAGTATAAAACCAAGTTTAGACCAAATCTTTTTTAATATAAAAGCCAATACCTACAAAGTGGGAATGTTAATCCAGTAATAAACCAAAATGTAATGAAAAATATTAACATGTTTATTAACATGTTTTAAAACCGCTTAAATGGTCCAATAAACAATTCAAAGGTACATGGCCTTTTTGCCAACAACATTATTTTGTGGATTTTTAAACCATTTAAATCTCCCCTTTTATTGTTAGGATATTAGAATATTTGTTGAAAACAAACCAAGAAACCTTAAATGACATTAAATAAAGATGGGACGTAATAAAGGTACAACGTGAATTATCTTGTTATAATGATAACAGAATAAATAAAATAAAAAAATAATAAAATAAAAAAGCACTAGTGACCCACAGTGGCAGTTTGATACCCATCTGATTAAATAAGCAAGAACTAAAATGGGTCATCCATCTTATTTAAGCAATTGTCAGCAATAACACATGACTTTAACACTACAGAACAGCCAGAAATTAGCAGTGACCCTGGGCAGAACACGTTTGCATCCTGAACATCTGTTATTACATGCAAAGCAGTAAAACGTTTTAAAAGATTAGAAAGGCCTAAATGTAAATGCATGGTAGTATCTGAAAGGTTAGCCTGTTAGCTTAACCCCAAAATAACCCAGACCATGAATACAAGAACATAGATGTGGGTTCGTTAAAACCATTTTTTTTTTTTTTTTACAATATGGATCCACAAGGTCATTAAAAGACAGTGGTGATATACAGTAGCTAACACGTACAGACATACCAGAAATGGATAAACAAATAATTGCAAAAAAAAAAAAAAAATTGAATTAGAACACACATAAAATGCTAGAAAAAAAGAAAACGGATTTCTCAATATTAGATATATCAAGTTCAAATCAAATTTAGTTTTCTTGCAGTTGTTCGACTTTAACGTTATCCAGACATATTCATTGATTTTAATAGTGCCTAAAGAGAGGCTAATAACGAAGGTAGCTACAAAATACGAAACATTGGCTTAATTCAGTTGCCAGAAATAATGTGCACGAAGTTTAAAAAAAAAGTATTTCTATAAGAAATAAGAGGGGTAATTCAACGTTCTGATTGTGCGAGAGTGTGTGGCACAATCAGTTGAAAGTTAATGAAGAGCAGCATAAACAGCTAAAGGTTAACTTTAAAATGCGAAAGGCCTTTCTAGCCATTTTATGAAATAGCGTGAAAATATGTCCCAGAAAATAATAATAATAATAAAGCCTCTGTTTAAAGCTTTCCTCCTCCCGTCTCGAAACCGAGTGCCAGCTGGTACAGCACTTTAATGACAACCCCACTGTTTTTGTTTCTTTCGGTCAACTGTTGTTTAACAAACATTACTAACACATTTGACCAGTTTTCAACACAACAAAACAATTACAGCCTCAAGACAGCACTTTTATAAATGCATAATTAAAAATCTGAAATACACAAACCAACCATGTTGTCCACAACTATTTCAACTCCAACTCGTTACCTGCTGTCCGAAGCCGAAAACTTTCGTCTAATGTACGCTTTACATTCACATGTGTTGTTCTTTAAGTATTTAAGCGCTTTATTGCTTCAATACTATCTTTAAATACTTATTTTAAACTATATAATGCCTAGTCGTGATTTCATAGTAGTCCACATACACCGTGCGAATGCACCGCCTCCCACTGGCTCAATGCAAAAATCACAAAGCGTCTTTCACCGTAGCCATAACAGCGTAACAACTACGTCACGTGACACAGTGAACAGGCCAATGAGGGCACGTATATTTAAACGAACCAAGGGTGGCGATTGGTTGTCGTCTGTTACACGCTTACTGTCTTGTTTCAAACTTAAAATCAAATTTCAAAACATTTAAAGTTGAATTAATGTTATTTTATCCAATAACATATGAATTAAAATAAACAACAACCAAATAATACTGTTGAATACTGTTGTTGTACACCACGTAATAAAGCACAAAACAGGGTGCACTACAAAAAACAAATACTAATTTAAACGTTCCTAGCAATATATTTCAATAGCAAATGTTGCTTCCCTTTTTTTACTTTTCCAATGTTTATAGGCATGTCCATACAATGTAATAGTATTGCATTTCTTCCTGATTTAGTGTCTGCCTGACTTATAAACTTTTTTTTAAAATTAGACTGGTACTTACCTTCATAATTGACCTCAAAACGAACTAAAAACACACACGTAGATTATTAGTCTCCGGTAACCTGAGTTCTTCACACCTTGCAGCAACTGGCTCAGGATGCTGACTAAACACACCTCTCTGGTCAAAGAGCTCCAACGGTTGATCAACAGGTCAAATGGGTAGGCGTGTGCGCGCCTTTGTGTGTGTGGCACGTGTGTTTCAACAGCAGTACATATGCACAAAACAAGAGGGTAACTGAAAGTGTACTTATGAAACATGTCATGTGACAGTGTGATTAATGCAGGTTGGAAACACCTGGTTGAACTTATTCAGTCTCTGTTGTCGTGAGTGTATCACTTGACAGCATGGAATAAGTTCATGTAGGTGTGGAGGTTTTGTAATTATTATTAATATTATATTCATCAAAGTATTGTCTACCGTGGAGTTGTGTGCAGTGGACCCAATTTAATCCCCAGTTTTTCTAAATCCTCTAAATCCTCACGCCTCTGTAATTTTGTAGTTTCTCTGCTAAGACATGGACATGCAAGTCGCTAAGGAAGAAAATCACAGGTAAAAACCCATAAAACTATGAGATAGCTAAGTTGTTTTATTTCCACAGTGATGCAAAACAGGCTTATGTTGTATTTACATTGTAGTACTTTTTTTAAAAAAAGGACTCTCTATTTTATTTAATCCTAAAAACAATGCTACCCATTCACAAATGTACGGACTGATTACTGTGGAGCCAAATAACCAGCCACTGTGGTCACAGTGATGCATAATCAAATGTTATTCTGCTCTGTTAAAATAATAAAGGATTAGTTAATGTGATAATATTATTATTATTGTTGTTGTTATTGTTGTTGTTGTTGTTGTCATCCTTAACACAGGTTATCTTTGGGCTGTTTTTGCCAATTTTAATTGGTATCTAATTGGACATATTACCAATATAGCAGTTACAAGAATATGATGTTTTGCTATCAGTATTGGATACAATTTCCACATACAGCATTAAATTCTGGGCCACACCCAATAACCAGGCTGTGGGTCATATTGCTGTTAGGCTCCAACCAAGCATGGCCATATGGTGGACCAGTATATATTTGTGAATAGCAACCAAAAGAACATGGTATTTAAAAACTATACAATGTCCATTTGCAAGGGATGACAATGCTTACATACAACACCTTTGATAACCATAGAAATTATTGCCTTAATAACTGGTACATGACAACTTACTAACATTGACACAGTGTGAAAGATGTTTCCACCGATATATATTGACTTAAAACTTTCAAAAAGGAATATCTGCTACAAATGTCCTTGAGGTGAAAACACTACAGCCTGGATCACATCAGAGACTCTCTGGCTTTTTTCTCTCCATTCAATGCAATAAAATAAAGGCATTTTATTCCTGCTTCAGAGAGGTTATAGGTTAGGCAATACGACTACCTTGTCAAACATTTGAAACGTATACACATTTTCACATCTTCCCTGTTTCTTTGACTCCACTCTGAGCCCATGACGCTAATGTGGAGGGCGACGGCTGGATCATTTTCTCCAGAAGGTTCATCATGCGCTCCTGCAGCTGCAGACACTGGACCTGGAGAAGGTTCTGTTGATGCATGGCCCGACGGACCTCTCTGCACGTCTCTTCTATTGCCCGGCTTGACCTTTTTTGCTGCAGTAGCATGGACTGCATTATTCGCAGCTTCTTTTTCTTAAAAGCTAGATGCTTGTTAGCATACTTCTTCTTTGAAGAAATTGGGTGGCAGCTAGGTGACAGTGGAGGAAGGACAGGTTAGTTGTCATAATTCAGGATTTCAAGACACAGCCTTAAAAGAGATTAATTTCTTATCTGCAACTGGTTGCCTGCTAAATATATTCCTAGTAGTTTCTGCATTTGTTAAATGAGAATGAGGTATCACACTGAAGTAATCTAGGTAGTTTTGTGGGTTATAGGCAGTTTGTTTGATGCAAAAAGATCCAGTAGGTGACAGCATTGCAGTGAAAGGATGCTAGCTAACTTTAGCTGGATTAGCTTTGGAGGAGAAGACTAACTTGTACAAGTTACAGTATATATCTCAAATATACATTTTCTTTTTTAGATTTGAAAAACTTCGTCGAAGGTTCTTCGTTGGCTGACAATGACATGTTCCATGAATACGTTTTGAAACACAATATGTTTATCATAGCTACTGCTAATCTGCAAGCTAATTGAATGTACAACTAACAATAGATACCAATCTGAAGTTGTACTTGGAGATGTGACAGAAACCTTCACTCTGTCAAACTTCCCCTAACCTTCCTGTCAGACTAAAGTGAAACATTAGTGAAATTTGAGAATGGGAAATAAATCTCAGGTAGTTGTACAACATATGAGTGATGCTCAACATGGTTTAGCATTTAAGGGCTACAACTAGCATGGATTGTTGGAAATACCCTACTTTCATGGTTCCATTTAATTTAGCAGGCTGCTGTTGCAAACATCTATAAAGGAGCATGCGATGAACTCGATAATCCAACACTAGCCAATATTTACTCTTTTGAGGAAGAGTCTTAAGTCTTGTCAAGTTATGTTAAAATGCATTTGGCAAACACTAATATTTTATATTCCAGTTACTTTCAGAGACATATGGATTAGGTCTGTTGACTCTATTTTAAAGACATTACTAGTTTTTCCAGAATGTACTGAACTGTATGCTATAGTCTTATGTAAATATTATTGGTTTGTCTTATATTTCTGATGAGTTATTTGCTGAAAAAAGAAAGTTTATTAAGATAGTTATACATATAATAAAAAATAACCCTTGCTACCTGACAGTAAAAAGTGGAACTACCCGCAACCCGTAACAGATAAGCAGATGAAAATGGATGGATGTATGGATACTACTCTTAACCTGAGTTGAGGGTTTGATTCCAAACCAGTAAGTAACCCAGGTAGATGGCCCCTTGAGTGGTGTTTTAAGTACAATTGTGCAGCTTCAGAAAATAATTTATACTTTGTACTTTCTCTCTATAGCTCATTCACACACATACACACAGGTCTGATCTAGGTCCTTTTACCTGGAAATCTGTGTGTTGTCACTGTCAGAACTCAAAGAGTCCAGTTCTTGCTTTATCTCCATCTCATCTGAGGAGCCTGTGTACTCTGGCAGGAATCCCAGCATGCCCTCCTCTGGGTGGGCCACCATGTTGTCTGCAGTCTGGGAGGATGTGGAAGGCCCTGCAGCCAAGGCCTGATACTCCAATGGCTCCACTCGTCCATTCTCCAGCGGCTTGGTGAGGATCTTGTCGATGGGTTTAAAGTACGGCCAGTCCGGCATTTCTCCACTTTCAGCAGCTGTGGCTTTCAGTCGCCTGTTAAAAATAAAAAGAGATGTTTATAGTCATGCAGCAGCTGGATTTAAGACCCGTGAGTCACCCTGAGACCCTGGTGCCAGACTTGCCTGTATTGGAAAGACATGTTGGTGATTTTCATTTTGATCTCCTCTTTGAAACGCTGCTCCCCGGTCAGCTGGAAAAACCTCTGAGACATCTTCTCGTAAACCTTAGCGTTCCTCTTGCTCATTTTCAGTTCGTTGTGGTGTTCCTCCCACACATAGAGAAGGGCCTTCATTTCACCGTCCGTCCAGTTGGGGGCGCGTCTGTGTTTCTCACTGTGAACTGGCAATAGGTAGCTGAAACCATCGTCTGCTGCCATGGTTTTAAAGGTTCTCTAGGCCTGAGAGTCTTTATAGCTTGGACTTGAAGGGTTTTACTGTGCTGAGAGCTGTGTGTTATGCAGGCGAGAAATATGCAAAAAGGTCCTGCCTGTCCCCTTCCCCCTATAGCCTAGCTGAAAGAGGACTCAAAATGGGGCCTAAGGCAGGAGATGAATCCGGTTAAAAGCTTTTAGCGGTGCATGATGTCACCATGACATCAAGTTGCCTTGGCAACGATGAGGGAGGCCCTTCATTTTCCCTCCCCTTTGCTCTAACCACTCCCGTCCGCTCTCCTTTCCCCTCCATTCTAATCCAGTTGCTGCACAGAAAGCTTTTAGCTGAAAGGCAGCAGTGTGAGTGCAGCAGACTGCCGACAGGTTTGAAACATGAGCCTCTGGGGAGGAGGCAGAAAAAATAAAATAGAGAGACAAAGCTGAGACCATTAGACATGAGAGTACGTGTTTCCTTGGCAACCAAGCTCTGGAGTTGGCCGTGGGCCAACACACTGCTCTGTTTAAAAGCTTTTAATAATAGACAAGCTGCTTCGATACAGTGAGAGGAAAGATCTGCTCCATCTGGTGTGGTTCACATGGAACTCTCAGTCTGGAGCTTTGAAAAATCAGATTTCACTGGAAAGACAAAATGACACCACGTGTTGATCAGCTATACGTAACCCTGCAGTGCCATCCAATATGCTGCTGTAATCAGCTTTCTATTCATATCGAAGGCTGCAGACAATAGACCCCCGCAGGACATTACTTTTTCACTGACCAGTTGCAAACCCCTCCCCCCACTCAGATCTCAGCAAACCACAGCAACAGCTCTGCCCCTCTTCCAACTTCCCTAACCTACCATAATATGAGCATTTTCCTCCTTCCTCCCTTTATTAAGCCCCTCCCTTATTCATTTTAGTGGTCTTTCACATAAATATACACACAGGCGGTAAAACCCTTTCTCTGCAGCATCTCTGCTGCATTTGCAGTGGGAGTGGAGCAGAAAGTGATGCAGCAAACACAGCCAGCCTGCAGCCTCCCTTCATCTTTATTAGCCCCCTGCTTGGTGATGAGAGCCTGGCTTAACGCAGTTCTGGCCTCGTTAGATCCTTAACACATCTGCTGCACACTACCTGACAGGCTGCATCTGTGCGGACTCCTAAAGCAAACGAGGCTGCTTTAACCAACTCATCACATCTGTCTCTTAAGAGCAATGTTAAGCTGCACAGCTTTAGAGGCACTGAAATGGTGAATGGTAGTTGTTTTTTCTTTTTTTTACTGTGAGAGGCTGTCTTCTAGTTTTTCTCTTTTGGCCTTCAGCTTGTAGTTAAAAGGAATCAGCCTGATTAGGAGTGGGAAACCACATTTAACTCAGTATTTTAAACAGGAGTAGTTTTAGAAGTGGATGTTTCTAAAACGACTCTAAAATTCTTTCTTTACATGGTCCAAAAACCCAAATAATGAAGCATAAGTCTTCTTTAAGGTACACACACACACACACACACACACATATATATATATATATATATATATAGTATAGTATTAATTCAATAACACAGTACTTGAATAGAGTACTAATGATTGACTGCAGTATTATTAGTATAACAATCAGTAATACTGCGCAATACAGTAGATGGCAGTAGAGCATTTGGAAGTCAAACAACCAAGAAGAAATTGGGGTTAGCAGAATCATCTTGAGTAAATAGATCTGCCTTTAATCTGCTAGCTACATGCTCTCTGTTCACTACAACAGAATACTGAAACCTAAAGCTAAAGCTTTCAATTTATTATTATTATTATTAGAGATTGGTATTAGTAGTAATAGTAGTGGTGGTGAAGTATTTACAGACTACTAATCAATTAGACTAATGAAACTGGTGTAAATTGTTACTCTTTTGTGACACTTCTGCAATGTCAACAACTGGGCAAAGGTATATACTGACTATATTCATATAAAGCAGTGGTATATTGATTAAAAAGTAGTGGTTTGTGTGGTTGCCTCAAATGGTCATTTTGTCCTGTCTTGTCCTCTATGTCCTTGACGGGACAAATGGCTTTGCACAGTATTCCTGTTTACGTGTTATCTTCCCGTTTCCCATTGATGCCTTAAAGTGTGCAGATTAGGAAGGACTTAAGCACAGACTCTGTAGTGGCTGAAGGTGTCAATGTGAGCGTAAACCACTAAAGGGCTGTAATTTGCTTTTTTAAAATAAAAAAGTCGGTTGAAAATTTAAATTAAAAAAAATCAATCAATCAATTTTCAAGTCAACATGACTTAAAGAAGAAAACCTGGCAGTGAAGCCCCAGTTTGTTTGAACCTTAGAAAAATGTTTAATGTAAATTTGTGCACGAAAACACAAACGTACAGTACAGTGCATACATAATATATTTGAAAGTATAAATGCTGTTAATGCTGGCCTACATTAGTATGTCAACACATACTGTTGTACCTCCTTTAATACCAAATGGCCCAGAGCACACAGACTGTACCATGTTTGGCTGAAACTGCATCCACACAACAAGGAGTTTTACAGTTTCTAATGAAAAACACTATATATGACACACACACACACACACACACACAAACAACACACCCATGTGACACCTTTTGTAATGTCATGACAGCATTTGAGGCTGGTGTGTGTGTGTGTCTCTTACACAGATACAGTAGATACGAACCATGTATTCCCTCGCAGTGCAATTCTGCCTCAGACTTGAGGTTCAATCTAAGCTCTCAGGGTATTTATGGTACTCCAACCCAGTAGTCTTTTATAACGCAGACACAATAACAGAGAGCTAATAAATGTGCAATAAAGGAATTTTAACTACAAAATATTGTGAATACGTAGTTTTAAAAGAAATGAGCTGCTGTAGGTCAGACAACATCTGTGTTCGTGCCCCCTCCCCAAAATTAAGCTGTATAAAATTAAAATATAAAAACATGACAAAAAGTCCATATGATTTATCGTGTATCCACATGTGCACTACACAGTAATAGAAGATAGAAATAAAAACCGGAATGTAGTTCTGACAATTCACCACTAGAGGTCGGAAAATATCCATGCTCAGAAATCCAGTTTTTAACTTGAAATATTTTCTGTAAAACTCTTTTTTTTCTGCTCGTGGACCGACAGTTTGAACAGTTCCTACTCATTGTAATTTCTTTTTCACCTTGTTTCAGTTCAGCAGCAGTGATCAAGTCTTCAGTTCATTCACACTGACACGGTTCCACTCTGACTCTCAGAGCAGAAATGAGTTTGTTCTTTAAATCTAACACTGACTCAAACGTGCACAGTGGCTGCGAATGTTGTTCTGAATAATGTCTGTGGTTTCTGACAATGTTACTGCATCACGAGAGGAAACTCTTCCCAAAAGGTCTTCTACAGAGGTCCACTGAGGACTTTCTACCATCTCCTCTAAATCCCCCGTCTTTCCTCTGTTGAATTATAATTGGTTATTTCTCCTTCGGACTCCAGAGAAATTTTAATTCTCTTGAAAGATTCTCAGTCCCTGGAAAGACACTCTTCTTCTGTGATGCCCTGAGCCTTGAGCTCCTCCAGGACATTGTCCAAGTGTCCCAGGTCAGGGTATCCATGCCCAGTTAGATTTGAGCCAAACTCTGTCTTGTGGTGCACCTCGTTCCAGATGACAGTATCAGACTCTCCAGTGGTGCTCGACGTGCCCACGGAAAAAATGAGTCTGCGGTCCCAGGCTACCAGGAGCAGCCTTAGAACCTGGAAGGAGGAAATGGCATTTAAATACAACGATTGATGATTTATTACTGGAATACAGAGAAAAGAAAATCTTTTCTTCACCTTGCGTCCTTTCTCACTGTCAGGGAGGTAGCAGTGCCTGGGGAACCCACGGGCGGTGAAGGGTTTGCCTGGATTTGGATGTTCTGGGCCCTTCAAAAAAAAAAAAAAAAAAAAAAGAAAACTCAGAATAGACCTTTATTTATTTATTTATTTAAGGGATGCAGCAATCGACCAGTCCAAAATAGGAATCAGGCGATTTTCAGCATCATTGGCCTAAACTGGTCAGGACGTGTTTCCAGTTTAGCAGCCGATTATTCTGTGCATACGTTCCGTGTTGGAAAAACAGGAGAGGAAGCTCACACTTACTGGAGCTAATATGTTGTTAGCTCTAAAGTTCTTTACAGTGAGCAAAGAAATCTCCAAGGTCACTTTTTGAAATATATATATATAACAGTAACTGCATGGGAGCCACAGTTTATGTGGCTTCACCTGAGCTGTGCTATATTAGCAGCCTGATGTGGACTAATGCTGAAAACAGCAAATGTGTTTTACCACAGACGTTTGGATGAGGAACTTTAGTTTAATCTCCAGGCTGTTTATTTAGAACCTTGTTCCAGTCAGCCAACTTTTTATTTTGAAGTGGCTAAACTGAAGAGGAAACCTGGAACTGAGTGCAGTTTGCATGAAATGTTTCATAATAACTTGTTATAAGGATACATTTCTGCGTTGATTTTACGTTTTGTATATGAAGTCACTTGGAGGAAATGAGAACCAACATAATCCAGCAATGGCAGTTAAAACTCCAAATGACATTACATTCCATTATTCCTGATCAAAAATAATGATGTTCCATTACCTGGATGCCAGGTGGGATGTTGTAAATGAGGCGGATGGTCTTGCAGTCAGGGTGACCAGGCAGCGAGTGCGGGATGACGTGGTACTCCATCTTTCCAGGGGGCTGGTTGCCGGTCTTCACTCCATAAATTGTTTTGCAGGTCGGACACTGCAGGCTGCCGTCTTTGTTGCCGTTATTGTACATGGCAACGAGGCACTGGAGGTGGTACTGGTGTCCACACTGTGCCAGGCGGCCGACAGACTCAGCCCGAGAGATACCACCCACGCCGGGACCCTTGTAGCCTGAAGGTCCTGCCAAGGCCTCCATACAGATGGTGCAGTCCTGAGGTGTGAAGACAAACTCAATTTTGAGTCACGTCTCATCGAACAAATATTTGTTTTTCGCTGTTTTCAATAGTGTCATACTCATAAGACACAAGGCTTCAATCTCTGCTGCCATAGATTTTTAGAAAACAGAGCATTTAATTTTTGGCACTGAACCAACCTCTTCTGGAGGATTTCGAACTTTTTGAAGGTAACGTTTCACCACATCTTCAGGGGTTTTACCTGAGACACAAACATAATATTCAAACGCTGTGAGACTGAAAAACCTTAGCAAATGAGGAAATCTTCACCATGAACCCACCTTTACGAGCCTGCTTCTTGGTGGTCTTGCGGCAGCAATGACCCAGACCGGGAACAGGCTTGATGTCACTCTTGCTGACAGGTGGAGGATGAAGCACCAGCTTGGGCGGGCGGGTGAGGCACACAGGAAGACCTGCAGCACTCATCAGGATGCCTGTAATACCTTCAAAAACCAGCAGAGGGTAGACATGAGACAGTGTCGCCTTTTCACATTTAGAAATGTTTTTACATTTCAAAATATGAATTTGATAGCTTATATTAATAAAATATATAAAATAAAATAATAAAATAAATAAAAGTAAAAAAAAAAGTTTTTGGTATTTACTATTACCTGCTAGTGCAGGGTGCACAGGACTAGAACCATTCAGGTTCTTCACTGGAACCGTTGGCACTCTGAAACACACACAAAACACTAAGAGTTAATTTACAGTGTAGAGACCACAGACTGACAATATAGGTCAGGTCAACTCAGCAGACCAGGCTGACGCTCTCAGTATCTGTTGAGTCACCATTAAACAGATGGAAACACACACACCTGACCAGAGCCACCTAGTTCAACGAAGCTCAGCAGGTTGTACAAGAACTCAAACCCCTTCAGCATCTATTGTATTTATTGCCCCTTTTTCTCAATCCTGGATTTTTTGACATTTCAATATATATATTTTTTTCCATCACGTTTCTAAACCTTCATAAAAATATAAAAATTAACAATGAGAAAAAATGCAAGAGTACAAGGAAGGTACTCTTATTGCATTTAAGGAAATTAAAACCTAAAACAAAACTTAAAAAATGTTTTAAAAAGCAAAAATGTAAAATGACGTTTTAAATTATTAAATGAAAAATGTAGAATAAAGGATTACTGATTTAAAGGCAAATACTCTCCTGTAACTAGTACAGTAAAAGTATTAGTAAATACTTTCTCGTAACTAGACAGGAACCATGTGGCTACATTTAATACTTTACTTGTGAACAAATACAACCACGTTAAATTAAATAGAATCAAAAACGTCTAATGTTGTTCTGAAAACATACAATAAAAAAACAATCGCTCACAAGTATTCTCTTATTGTCATTTACGGATCAAACACAAGTCCATTTTTGTCTCACTGGACTTCGGTAACATCAGCACATCTCTCATGGTAATCAAAAAAAAAAAAAAAGTTCTGATCTTTATCGTAAGTGTAATATCTCTGCTCACCACCAGGGAAACACACGTTAACAGCTGTGTACTTACGGTCTGCCAACTTTGATGACCGTCATCTCTACTTGCAAAAATCAGAAATAGGAATCGAGATATTTTCACTTTTGGTCTTCTCGTTTCTTTCACTACGCAGTACTTCACTTTGTGGGTACTGCGTTAGTAGCAGTGTCTCGGCTCCTCCGTTTCCTCTTTGCTGTCTGCTCCCCGTCCTCTTTTATAGGACTAATCCACCTGCTTCCATCTGTTGTCTCAACACCGGTTGTAGCACAGTGATGCGTCACAACACGGATTACCTTGGGGTGACGCCGTCACACTGCCATAAGGCTGACGGGACATGGTCAGAAACTATTAGCAGGCAGTATAAGTTAGCATAGTTATCATAGTTAAGGGATACTAATTATGCTATTATAAATATGCTACCTGTGTTGTGTACCATGACAAACAAACAAAAAGCCTCCTTTCTTTCTAACCACGGTGTATAAAGTATAATTTAGACCAGAAGAATATTTTCATCGTCAGATCACCAAATAATAATTGTGCCCCAATTTAAACATGTTAAATTCCTCCTTATTACTTTATTTAAATATTTGACATAACTTTTTTAAGTCTTCTTAGTATTTTAAAGTGATTTATGTTATGTGAGATCAGTGTTTCCAGACATTTTCTACACGGCCTCATTAGTAGATTCCTAAAAACTGATGTCCCCATTGGAAAAGTACATTACAATTATGATTATGATAAATATATAATTTTTTCCCATTCTGGTACAAACAAAAAATAAAATAATGTAAGCTACTTGTCACCACCCTACAATAGCCCTGGCCACCAGAGTGCAGGATTGGCTCCTACTTTTCTGTAAATTAATAATGAATCGCTCTACATTTTCTTGTTATTGGAACTAAATTCCCAGATCGTGAGGGATTTGTTTTTCTGGGTTACAGCCAAAAACGTGCAGTGGATCAAACGTGAACTTCGATAAGTTGGTTAGTATTTACTGCATGTGACCAACATGATGAAAGGATTACAGGTGGACGAAGATGGTGTTGAGTGTGGAGAAAACCAGAGGAGGTGTGTGAGCAACAGCTGGTCACGTTTCTGTGATCCCAGCTAATCTACATGCATTAGAGCAGAGCTCCATCTGTGGCAGTAGATGGACGAAGGAAACACACAAGCTGCCACACAACACAGCATCAAAACATTTTCAAACTCAAACACACATTTACAAATGTAGTCCAACAACAAATAAAAGAAGAAGAAACCCCTCTGGCAACTCAAACACTCGTTTGTGTCTCTTCTCCAGAAGTCAAAGGTCACTGAGTGAAACCACGACAGGTGTGAGGCGAAGTGAAGGCCGCTCATGTCAGCCTGATAATCTGTCACCTTTCCCACCTCTTCAGAAGTAAAGACTTGACCTAAAAACCATCTGCCGCACAAAAACAAACACTTCATGTTTAACCTAAAGTAATACAGTTAACCTGCGTGTTCCTAAATATTACCGTTATATTATCTATCTATCCATCTATCTATCCATCTATCTATCTATCTATCTATCTATCTATCGGTCTGTCTGTCTGTCAATACAACAAAAAAAAAGGCAAGAAGAGGGTAGAGTAGGAGGAAAGAAAGAGCGCAAGAGAAAGAAAGTATGGCTAAAAGAAAAGAAGACTGAAGGATTACAGGAAGGATAAAAGATGAGAAAATGAGTTGAATAAAAATAAACTTTTAAATTGTATGACTCATCAATAAGAAGCAGCCTTCATGTTACTGCTTTGATAATCCTGGAGATTACTGTCCCCTCACTCCTTCATCATCACTATCTGTGTTGGTCAGTGATGTGATGAAAGCAGTAAAGGACAGTGGACAAGGTGAAGAGGAGAATGTTCAAGTGACAGGCCACAAAGAGTCAAGGAGCGTGTGACATGTTTTACTGCAGCAGCAGCAGCAGCAGCAGCAGCAGCAGCAGCAGCAGCAGCAGGTGGGTCCATCTGCTAAAGGAAAGATGACTCTCACCTGATGTAATGAACGAACGGGTCAGTCACACAGCTCAGATTACAGCAGCAGGATTATTAAACCCGTGGTGTTATGTTAATAATCTGGGGATTAGCTGCTTACAAATGTCAGCTCTAACTCCGCCTGTTAACGCAACTTTCAACTCTTGATGTACATTTTAATCCAAGAAATCCAGACTTTCAAGTCGACAGAGGAAAAACATTATGAACTGAGAGGCTATATTTGGAACATGATGATGTCTACGGGCTGGGACGTGCAACACGCACACAAACAAGACACACAAACAAGACACACAAGAGTATGTGATTCAATAATGGAACAACAGCTGCGACCGACCCTGCAGATAGAAGAGCGAACAGGGCCCTCTGCTGATGACACCTGGGAACTGGAAATGTTTCAACTAAGGGAATTCAAGTGTCAACAATTCTCTGCCAAGTTACCCTGATGTAACTTCACAGCTGTAATTAAATCTTTCCTTGTAAGTGGGGGGATGAATTAAATATTAAGAAAAAGATTTTAAGATCCAATTTTCACTGTTATGTGAAAAAGTGCTCTGGGGCACAAGGGTCCAAATGATATAAAAAAAAAAAATTAAAAAAAATTAAAAAGAGAAAATTATTCTATAAAAAACAAATTAAAATTAATAAAAAATAACAAAAATGAAAACAAAATAATAACTTAAATATTGACATAATTAGCCAATGACTCTTAAATCATATATTGTAATTATGTCCTTGAAATATTTATACAACAAAGATATGAATATTTTTTCCACATGGTCACATAATTTCCTTACACATTTATTTAAGTGGGACAAAAAGACCACCAAAAGCCCCTACACACCCCTGTCGGCAGATTCTCACTGCACCAGAATGCACTTTAATTACAAGCCTCCATGATAAAAATATCACGCACTAAACTTTCCCTCATAAATCTTTTGGCCACACTGGTTACAAATTGCTTCCAGCTCCTGCGCAAGTGTTTCCAGACCTGGATCTTCAGCTTTTCCCAATCAGAAGTCGTCAGAAATGAAATTCCTGCATGAAAATCCTGGTTTCGTTGCATGACAAATACTGGGAATCTCTGCAACACGTATTGTTGTTCACAGTGAATGCTAGCCATTGTTTTTCCATTTAAATAAGCCTGGTGGAATTTGTCACAAAGATTAAAGCCTAATGGTTGCTAATGAGCTCTGATGTCAGGCATTGTAACGAGGCTGTGCACTCATTAGAAATCCCCCGTACTCCCTGTGAGAATGAACTCAATTTGTTTTGAATACAAATGAATGTACTGAAACGGGAAATTTAAGCAATAATAACCTTCTGATCGAATTGAAAGATCTACAGAAAGTATTCTACAGCATGTGCATTCTATTTATAGGTATTTGCCATTTTTCTGTGCTGTGAGGTAGTGTATTGGGTCTCTTTTATTTCAGCAAGTGACTTACAAAGTCACTTGCAGTTATAAAGAAGGAAAACTTCAGAGTTGTTGAGTTTCACTTTTAGGATTAAATCTTGGCAGAACTTCTGGGGTACCTGCTAACTACCTACTGTTTTCCATATAAGAACTCATCTGATTGATTTGTGAGAAAATATTTGAAGCAACCACAAAATGAACTCTGTCATCAGCGACCGTGGACTCACCCAGAGGCGATGAGGGCACGTGACTGGGCCATGGCGATGCGCTGCAGTGCAGGTCGGCTCAGCCCTGCTAGGCTAGAGCGGGGCGGCAGAGGTGCAGCGCAGGCAGCACCTGCAGCACTGCTACCAGCTGAAGAAGACACAGGACCCAGGACACGGGCAGAAGGCGAAGGCGTGCAGGTGGAGGCCGCTGTGGAGATCAGAGGAGGGACCAGGGTGGGTGCTGTGGAGGCAGAACAGGAAACAGAGACAGAGGAAGAGGAGGCGCAGGGGTGAGGTGGAGAGGTGGCGACCGATGAGGACGAGGTGGCAGGTGGAGGAGGAGGCGGAGGTGGGGGCGGGAGAGGTGGAGGAGGGGGGCGGGTGGAGGAGAGAGAAAGTGCTGCAGTGGCTGAGTTAAGGAGCGAGTAGGAGTTAGCGAAACCACCTCCAAAGCCAAGGTTATGACTGCCAACACTGCTCCCACCGACGATGCTCACACCTCCAGGACCACCAACACCGTAGCCACCCATGGCCCCCATTATAGACGTCCTGTTTGGGGACAGTGATCGAGACAGTGAAGGTGGACGAGGGAGAGTCAGAGAATAAGAACCTCCAGAAAAAGAGTGAGTGTTAATTTTCGGACTGGGAGGTTTGGTCTGTGGGGGTCTTCGACCCAAAGTGTGTGCCGCTGACATAGTGCCAGCTTTGACGCTCAGCACTAACATACACTGCTGACAGGCACAGGGCTGTCCCAGAGAGGTGATGGCTGAAGCAGGAAGTGCTCCGCTGGGGTATGCGCTCCCATTTCCGGTCCCACTGCCACCCATTCTGAGTCCCATACCAACCCCAGACCCATCCATACTAAGAAGTCCTCCGTGGCTGGGTATTGATGTGGGCCCCCAGGCATGATGAGACTTCGGTAAGGGCCCAGACACCATTGGGTAAGCCAGGTCAGAGCGGCGCTGGATGCGCCGGCAGCGTTGCGTCTGCCCGTTGATTTGTGTCATATTTTCAAAGTCGATGAGGTAGCAGAAACCCAGCGGTGCCAGGTCCAGCCAGGGCTGCTGACGATCTCGTGCCGCCTGGATGGCAATGCCAACGTCCGTGTCGTAGGCGGTCCAACTACCAACGTCGTTCTCCCACTCCCACAACCAGCCCTGGCCTGGGGCTGATGTTGGGTCGTAAAAGCTACGTCGTACCGGTCGAAGGGTACCTGGGGCAAAAATCAGAAAAACATGAGCAAAAATATCAAGTACATTGAGAAGACTGTGCCCTGGTGTGGAGACAATGGTTGAATTTATTATCATTATTAATATTAGTATGCTTATTTTGGCTAGCATTTAGAGCAATGGTGGCTTAGTAGTTAAGGACTTTCCACTTTACTAAAATGGACAAATTTGTACTTAAATCTTTTGATATGTCCTGTAGGTCTTTAACACCAGTTAGGCCATTTAGTAATCATCAATCATTGTCATCTCTGTCCTTCTGCCAAATGACTGATTTAACAATTGTTTTGGCTTTACAAAAGCACAGAAGGTAAGAAGAAAAAAGGGAAATGGCAATGCAATCAATGATTTTACAATGAAATAAGTGCAGTACATGACACCACCACCACAAACCATCTGTCAGACCAACCTTATATTAGTGGACATTTTAATGACTACTTCCTCATTGCTGCGGGAGGACTACTTTCTCTCAAGCAGGCATATCATGTGTTACACAGGTCACTTGGCAGCTTTAGCTCATGTGGTTTGATGAGCAAATTTAACTTCTCCTCCTGACACTTAACCAGTGTCCAAAGCCATATGTTCCAAACAAGGACATGCTCACTCGGTAGTATGAATTTCTTCTCCCCACAACTGGAAACAGGTGGAGGATGAGGATGTTCTTTGATGACAGGTTGATGAAAACAGCAGGCTAGAGTGACTGGACCACTATTTGCTGTGAACAAGATTACAACCTTTACAAATTCAACATGTCTGTGTTTGCTTGTCAAGAATTTAGGCAATCTGGTTGCCCCTGGTAACAGCACACAGTGTTCTGGTTTCTGATTGGCTGGCAGCTTTCATCTGAAACCAAAGTGGTCAGTGTTTGCTTTCCCAGAGAAACTCAGAGTCCAGATACTCTAAAGCCACCTTATTTCTAATTCTTTGCCCAAAATGGGTTCACAGCCTGTGTTCACAGTCAGTGTTCAAGAACTAACAGAACTGTCTTGTTTGTCATTGTCCATCATTTCAGGCAGAATTCTCATTCTGTAAAATATTATATTGTGAAGCAAATTACTGAACACTGGAAATATTAACATTCACCTCATGCTGGGAGTGCGACCAAAGGGCCCCCTGACAGCCCCTCATTTCTTTGGGGCTGCATATACAGTGGCAGGTTTGTTCAGTAAACTGAGCCATATATAAAAATACAGTCACCCACTTCTCATCTAAGCAGAATGTTTTGGCACAGAATGTCAATTCTAACAAGACAAAAGGAGAATCCATTCACAAAATCGGTTCCCACCAACCCCGACTTGTCAGTGATCTCGGAGTCCTGAAATCCTGCCCCCTCCTTCCTCATACCCCCTTCTCCCCTACTCAGACGGGGGCACCCTGCTTGCCAGGCATGACAGTTTGGAAAACAAACTCCACAAAGGCTTTTTTGTGACGACGGTGAGAGAGAAGGGCAATGTTGATGTGGCTGACAAAGTTTTGATCTCTGACAATTGACAGTTCCCTGCATTAACTCACTCTGCCCTGTTGGCTGTCTTGCTAAGGCTAGGCTTGATCAACTCAAGTTTCTAGCAGTCTATCAGAGAACAACATAGTATTGTCACTCTGTGATTGTGGGAACAAAATCTAAACAAACTGCATTGCCTCACCATGAACCGTACCATGAAATATTCAAAAGTTTACCCAAAAACGTGCACAATAATGTAAATGTAAAGTTTATGTAAGATCAGAAACAGTTTCAGTATTGAAATGTTTTGTTTTAGTAGGTGTTATTTCTAAGTCATTGGAGATGTACAGCTCCACCGACGAGTGGAAGCTCTGTACTACCGTACAACTAGTGGTCTGTGAGTTGCTGCTTCATAGCATGCAGTGAGAAATTACTTGTGGTCCAACCTGATTTTTTTTAATCATACAACATTATAAAATCATGACAGCTTTCATAGCACACCCTACAGGATAAAATCGGAGTATGTATGTAAACAGTATGGGAAATGGCCATATACAATTCCTTCAATACATTTTAGCTAAGGACTGACCCCAAATAAATTGCCTATAAACTGGAATGTGTTCCTATTTCTCATGCATATATGCTCTAATGTAAACCAGCCCCTGATGGGTTTTTCTCATGTTTGCATCAAAATGGAAACACAGCAATAACGTTGTCTATGCTCGGGTATTTTTAAAGCATACACATGCAAAACAATTAACTCCAATCAATATTAATATACTTAAAAAGTGCAAAACTGGGCACACATTAGAAAGGAATGAAAGGGGGCCTCCAGCCCAGGCCCCTGCTGCAGCCTGTCTGCTCCTCACCTGTGTCCTGTCTGAACTGGTGCATGGACTGCAAATCGATGATGTAGGGCGAGAGGCGAGAGTCCACCTGGCCGAGAACGACGCTACCACACCGCGGGTCGCTCCGGATAACTGCCTCGATGTGATGACAGACAGCCGGGCTGTAGGGCCGCCAGCGTCCGTGTTCGTTCAGCCATTCCCATACCACAACAGCAGACGCTAGTAACATCCTACTCCTGCAACGGCAGTGGAGATGAAAAACAAATGCACAAAAATACAAGGGTTAAACAGAAGTGAAACCAAAGAACGGAGATGGTGCGTTTTAACAGATGCCGTGCTGCCGCTCGGCCGTGCATCCCTGCGCACAGCATCCATCTTGGGCACGTTTGCAACCCAGATGTGTTTCCTATCTGTGAGCATAAAAATAAATATATTTGAGAGGGGATGACAGTGCAAGCTAATGGTACCTTCCATGTTTGTAGTTTCAGATACGCAGCAATTTAGAAGATTCCTTTAACGCATACTACACGAAGGGAGATGTTTCAGGGCGCATAAAGGCTCGCGGGATGGTTGCATTTTTCACTCCCTATGCAGATGAGTGACGTGCGCCGAAATCATTTCTCCGTCACAGTCAAGTTCGGATGAGAGAGGAAAATGCAACTTGGATGCTCAGAGAGAGGCTGGTGCGGCGCTCGTAAAGTAGGTTACTGTCACTGACTGGCTTCGCAGACTGGCTGCAGGCGAATGCATACCACTAAAAATCTGTGCAACGTCTAAGGAGAAAGCAAAAATCCAATAAACACTCACCCAGCCCCAGGTCTTTTCCAGTGTGTCTCCAGAGCTGAGCAGAATAGTTTGAGTGCTTCAAAATAATCAGTGAAGGAAACATTTGGTCCAAAGGTAATATCCAGAGCTTTCACACGACATATGCTTATTCCTGCACATTTTTTTAAAAAAAATATTCTGGTTAAAATTGTTGTCTCAGTCTCAGTTGTTGGCTCATTAAGCATCGAGATCCCGTAGAATCCGTAGATGCTGCTCCCTCTTTCCAAACACAGTCACGGATGAAACATTTACTCAGCCGGTGCAAAGAGAAATGTTTAACACTCTCATGTGCGAACACTCCCACGCCTCGGCCGCCTCCAACAACCAATCGCAGGATGGTGGAGGTACCCAGAAGCCAATGGTAGCATATATCATGTCACACAGTAGATTCGTGTGTTTGCTGGTGTGCTCATGCAACGATCAGTTGTGATTGGTTTTTCGTTATCTTTTAAACTAAGCATGATTAGAGTTCTGCAAAGCAAAAGCATATGTGGAGATGCCGGGTATCGAACCCGGGGCCTCGTGCTTGCGAAGCACGCGCTCTACCACTGAGCTACATCCCCACGCCGCTCGTCTCCGCATTTTTGTAGATATTTTATGCATATATACATACATATATACATATGTAGCAGTACGAGCGTTTTTGTCTTGTTTTCCCCCCGCTCTTTCTGTTGACTGTTGCTATGGTTTCCCTTCCTCACTTCCGCCAGTCGTTGAGGTGAGCCGGTATAATCTATATATCTGCGCTCCCATCGTCACCAGTGTAACTTCCGGGTCAGAGGTCGTGTGCCTGACAGGTATGGCTGCCTGCTGCTTCACCTCGCTCGTTGTTTTGTTTGTCTCCCTGTGCACAGGCGAACTCGAGCAACGACTTTTGTCTTTTCTTTATACTTTGTGAAAGTTCTTGATCAACGAACCCGGGGTGGTAAAACCTTACCACGACAGTATGCACATTGTTACGTGCCACTGCATCAATCTTAGTGCATCTAGCACATGCTAATAGTGTTTTCCTTTTGACTAGGTGTTGTAACCACCTCATTGGGCCGCTGCTGCTTTGTTTGGTGTTATTTTGTGCTGCTTTGTTTGGTTTTATTTTGTGCTGTTTTCACTGTATTGCCGTATATCTGTTGCTGCCTACGGCGTTCTTCTGTGGCTTAACGACTTCCAAGAGACACGCTGTGCAGGACGATTGTTCGGCCGTACACCGCGGTCCTATGCATAAGCATTTTTTTCTTTTATTGGGGACTACCCCACTAATGTGCTATTCTTTTTCCTCTTCAGTTGCTGTAGGCCGGTGGTGGCGGTGCTGGTGACCTGGTGGTGGTGTCCTCCCGTCGTTTCTTGCTGTGTCCCTGGGAGTGGGTTTCTTCACTGAGGGTGTGTTTGCCACGTGTGGCTGGGGATTTAAGTTATTTTTGCCTTATTTTGGTGGATTCTGCCTCTCCACTAGCCCTTGCCCATCCACTTCGGCCTCAGCCCAGATTTAGGTTTTTCTTTTATTTTGTGAATTAATTTTACAGAGTATACATAATACAATAAAATTTGTATTTTCAAACTTTGAACCACGTCTCTTGCCCTCCAGTAACCACGAACGGTGTATATATATATATATATATATTTGTTTTTTTTTTTTACTTTTTACATACTCTTCTGAACAAAACTGTATTTAAGCCTGTGCCCTTTTGTACCTCTGTTGAAAAGATCCCTTTTGTTATGTTTTGTTATGTTAAACGCTGGGCCGCAGACGATTATCACAACATTTAGTGACATTTATACAACACGTTAAAGCTGCAGCAGCCAATAACAGGTATCTGTTAGACATTTAACTTGCTCCTGCTGTTTGTAAATGCAGTGACAAATGTATCAATGAAATTACTTGATTGATAAACAGCTGCCAATTTACACTTCAGTACACTTTAAAATGAATTTTAATCATTTTTAAGAGAAATTAACATTTAAAACGTTCAAAAAATAAGGGCTACAGTACAAATAGTGCTACACATAGATAGGACATGGAATGGACAGAACCATCTGGTTGTAAACAAGGAATCTATTTACAGTATATAAACTGATTGTTTTTGTAATTTAATTAATAAAAAAGCTTCCTTAACAGCTGTTCTTATTTACTAGTGACAGATAAGGAAAGACAAAAGACAACACACGTGTGAACTCTGGACTATAGCTAGCAACCAGAATGTAATGTCAATTACTTATGGTCTATGATAGTGACTCTTTACCATAGAATCACAGTCCAACCAGGGCTACCAGCATCACCTAAACTCCAGGTGATGCTGGTGATTTTGCAGCCCTCTGTCATAGAGGGCTGCAAAATGTTTTCAGTTTTGCACCTGTGGGCTTGAGGGGCTGGGGGACTGAATGGGTTATCAACTGAAGACACGGATATGAGTAGCTCAGTTACATGTGTTGCATGTGTTGGCACTAATGACTCAGTCAGTTCTTCAAAAAGCTCCAATAAACAGAAGAAAGTATGGGGAGTTTTTAAAATGAAAGAATTGAGACAAACGACAAGCCCCCCCCCCCCCCCCCAAAAAAAGACAATAAGGAACTCTTGGTCTATGGCATTCCACAACACACGACAGACATCAATGGTCCTCTTAATTCTTCTTCATTTGATGCTCATTTGCACCAATCAGCTTTATATCTTTCCTCACCACAACTACAAATATTATATGACGCTTCCTGTTCTCTTCTTGCTTGGCTCCACCCCCAACATCCATTTTACAACTCACTTGACCTCCAAACATCTTTACTGGATGTAATTAAGGATCACAATATTCATATGGAATTCAGTAGCAATAAAAAAAAAATTATGTTCTGTAATTAATCGCACAAACTGTAGGTGTTTTTTTAACATCTAAGATACATTTTGATCTATTTTCTGATTTATTGATATTTATCTTATTCACAGGGCAGTCACATGTCTTTCTCCTCCCTCTTCTGAAGACCAGGTGGCACTTCCAGAGAACTGCTTCAGGTCTATGAGTAGTCCAGCTCCTCCAATTTCTTCTACCTGACATTTCTGTTCTCCAACTTTCTCTTCTTTTTCCTCTCCTTTTTCACCTGGATGATCTTGTTCCTTTGGCTCCTCGTTTTCTGAACCAGAGGAGTCATCTGAGGTCTTGTCAGTTTTTTCATTTCTCATACCATTTTGATCCACTTCCTCTTCCTGCTCCTCCTCATCCTCCTCATCCCTCTCTTCCGGGTCTTTCACTATGCAGCTATCACCTTCCTCCACCCGTTCCTCCTCGTCGTGGACCTCATGCATCTCCTCTCCGTACTCATCTGTGTCATTCCGAGGCCCCAGCTGAATTCCAAAATGAGTCCTGAGTGCTACTGCTGCAACTCTCACCTGGTCCCGTATTCCTCCCGTTTTATACACCATCTGTTGGATGGTGTATTTTCCATTTGTTTCTTTGTTCAACTTCTTGTATACGAAGACGAGCAATATAATCAGGGCCAGCAGTGAAAATAACAGTATCAGGATGGTTTTATCGGATTCAAAGAAGGCCATGTCTGAAATTTAACAACAACAATTCACATTGACAAAATGGCTAAAAATGACAAAACTATCAGTAAATCTGGGCTGAAAAATAAACACATTTGCAGTTAAAATTTACATAAAACTTTTTTTTTCTGATACATTTGTCTGGGTTTAAAATATAATGAATGCATTTAGTCAAATTTTTATATGACTTTAATCTGGCTGCAAACAGCATTTGTTAGAATGACAGGAAACAAGCAGGCTTCCTGCCACAATATTAATGACACAGAACCACTCTGCCCGCTGTGCAATGACACTTCTGTAAGTCACGGTTAAGACAACTCATGCTTAACTTTAAATAATGCAACAGAATTTTTGGAATACATAGAAACTGTCGTTAATTTGAATAAATTACATATAATTATATTATGTAGATGCTGGTACAGCACTCATAGAAAAGAGCAGGTCAAATGTGACATATTCAAATTTATGAACAGGTCAATGTGACAAAGTATGGAGCAGAGGGTTAAATTAACTGGTAAAGCAAGTATAAAGTTACTTACCAAAGTTTTGAGCAGATGAGGGTTTTTGGAGCCAGAACGTGAAGAACTGTGACAAAGTGACGGGGGATGTTGAGGGTAATCGTGCATGTAGAGCAAAGGAGGGTTGGTTTATAATGTGTGGTGACAAAAAGTTGCTAAGACTTTTTGAAGAAGGTGGAGACTGAAGGCGGTGAGAGATGAAACAAGGCAGGGTGAGAAGGGCGAGGAGGATAAATGAGAAGTAACAGGCTGAAGAATGTTGTACTTAACAGCATTAAACTTCATGACAGGTGTATATGGTACAGGATTTAATCAATTTATCTCATGTAAAAAATATAATTTAGGTGAAATAGTAAAGCACTTTTTAGAGCAAATGGAATTAAAAAACAACACCCTTATATTCCTTTGAGTGAAGTTCATTCGCTCGCACAGCATTTGCATGAAATAAAAATCAGGTTTTAGAAACACTGACACGGCTGACATCATACGCTAGAGAGCAGATGTAAAACACGTCTAAAACAGCCACATCCTGTTTTTCACTCCAGTGGCAGTGCAGTGAGAGCAGCGAAGAGAGCAATCTGTACTGTGGTTTTACACTGTATACTGTGTACGATGATGTAGTGTAGAGAAGATACACTTCGCATTTGGCCCTGTTATAATTTGTTGTTTTATTGTCAAAACACACCACACGTTAAATTATATTCAACATTTTCTGTAAGCACAGTCATCTTCTGGCTGCGCAAATTTAACTGCTCATTAGTACCCTATTTGTAAAATGTGATTGATGATAAACATCCTGATTAGCTATTTCTGTACAAAAGAGATGTCAGTAGAGTTTTTTGATGGTTATTTAGAGGCCTTTTTTGCATGCTGACTTTGCCTATATTTAAATCTTTGTTTGCATTTAGTCTTGTGATGCTTCCTGCTTGTGAGTGCCATACTTTTGAAGCTATGCAGAACAATGCTGTCACTTGGAATTTCTTACTTTCCATTTGTCATTTTAACTTTGTCAAATAATTCATATTTATACAGAATCAGGACTATTTAATAATACATTTGGTTGGCTCAGATATTTAACCAAAGTTATTCAGCTTGAGGCTAATTGACATAATTTGGACCAAAACATTCACCAACACATAAAAAATGAAACATTTTTCAGTGTAGTTCTACACTAGCTGAATAAACTTGGATGTTTTCTTCAAAATTAAACTTCTTCTTCTTGTTTTTTATTGGCTTAAGATTTTTTTATTTACTTAAGTCTTCAGAAATCATGAACAAAAATGTCAAAACTTTTCATTTGTACAAAGAAAGAATGAATATTTATTGAGTTTGAGATGCTATTAGTTTTACAATTAGTACTAAGATGTTAGTGCAGAAAGAAACACTTTGACAACAATATGACAATTGTGTGTTAAGTGTGAAGGGGAAGGTGCCAACGTAACAAAAAAGTGTCTGAATGTATACTGTACGTAATGCCAAAGGAAAACAAACCCCACACGTCACAAATGTTATTTCAAACTGTAGAAAATGTTACGTACATCACAGTAATGTCATCTCATCTTTCTTGTGTTATAATGGTACAGTGTGTACCAGCGATAGTGCTACACTGAGTTATTACACGGTGAAGTGCTTGTGTACACACATTGACACAAATCTCACCTCATGACTTGAGTGTTTTCTTTTTATCAACTGCAAGACTACACAGAAGAACGTTTCATATAAATGTTTAACTACACTCTCATCAACTAGCATTCAGAGAGAACATTATCAGTACTTGTAGCCTTAACCTTACACACAGCCTCTTATAATGACGTATAACAAAGCACAAATCACAGAATGATTAAATGCTTGAGGGTTTCTAATGAAGTTAAACGGGAGCTTGAACTACCTGATTGAATAGCCCTAATATTAACTTTTCTGAGTGCATCACGAGAACAGAATATCACATCAGAGGTACTTGATTGCGTTGCTATAGAATGTGAACCTTCATATGCAGGACTTAGAGGCAATCGTGCCACTAAAACTCCTTCAAAATTAATGTCTATTTTGCAAAGCTAACACATTATATACACAACACACTGCTGCACTCCCTCATAAAAACCTACAAAACACATCTCATTGTAACATGCCACTCTATGCAGATGACCACCTGCTCTGAAGCAATTTTCAAAAAAGACCAAATAACATAAGTGTGAAGACATTTTTGTAACCTGCTGTGATTCACAGTCACTTGCTACAGCACACTACATCCTTCAACTGAAACAGCTTAAGGTATTGTTTCAAATAAGGCTATGGTCTATGGGCTTAGCAGAGAACAACCTCTCAGCGAAGGGAGTCTGCTGCTCCCTCATACATCGCCGTCTTCGATCCGAGCGAGCTGCCTCTCCAGCAACTCGATTCTCTGGTTCTGAGCAAGCACGACAGCGCGTAGGGCTTTAATTTCTGCCAACAACTCGTTCAAAACATCGTCCTGAAAAAAAAGAGATTCAACACATTTAAAACTCTAAAAAAATAAAATGGGATAGGAAACTACAGGCACTTCTTTAACCTCTTTCTTGGCCCCATCTGTGTTTTCATCTATCTCTCTCGTGGGTTCTTGAATATGTTGACCCTCTTCTTCCACCTCATTGGTGCCTGTAGTAGCTGCTACATGGCCTGGTGAATGCAAGGCAGCTGCATTGCCGGAGTCCTGCAGTGCATGTTTGGGCTTGATCCTGAGAGTGTCTCTGTGCTTGGATGGAAGAGCTGTGTATCCTCCACTTAAGGAGACCAGAAGTGGTGGAGCATCCTGCCCAGCAATCCATTCGTCAGCCAGGAGAGCTGGCTCCAGGCTGGCTGTGTCGGGGTAGAGGTCTACCTGGAACAGATCTGACTGGAGATGCAACATAATGACAATATAATTATCTAGACTATTATTACCTGGCTGCAATTCACATATTTGGTTAGCTGGTAAGAAACTGGGCTTGTCGTGTGACCAAGTGCATTAGCAAGGTATTTTGGATAGTTTTTTTTGGAAGTTGCACATGGGTGCTCTTACTTTTCTTGGTACAGTCATAGAGATGGGTTCCACTTTCCTCTCATGCAGTTTGTAAAACCTATGAAAAAGGAAAAATTATGTTTAATGGTACAATATAACATAAATGGTTCCATTCAGTGAACCATACACCTCTGACAAACCTTTATTTATTGCCAGTATATATGTATACATACATTCTTCCCAGGAATAAACATAAAACATTTCACTGGTATCACTTTGAAAGATGATAGCAAGACAAAACAAATCAATATGCTACAACAAACCTGGCAATTTCACATTTGTTGACATCCACACCTCGTTTACTGAGAAAGCCTGCACCTCTCTGTGGCTCCTTACTACTGTATAAGCTGAGGAAGTGAACGTACGGGGATTCATCTGTCACTTCAAAGTACCGGATGGTGCAATCACCCTGAAATCCAGGAGTTAAATACAAGATGAAAATGAGTTAATAGTGTACAACATTAATGTTTAACCAACATAATTAGCATTTGTATGAGTTGTAGGACCTATTAAAACTGAACTCATACCTTTCCACACAAATAGACCATGTTTGTATCTGGGTCATAAAAGGGAAGAAGAACTCCATTACTTGTGTCCATTTCCTGTACAGCCATTGGCTCTGAGAGGTCTTTCTGTAAAACAAAAATATAGACCTGATTATGTGTTCTACTGAGTAACTTACTCTGTATGAAACTCTGGCCTGTTTAGGTGAACACAACCCTGATATACTCGCAGGAGTTGAAGAAAGACACACATGAATATCTCATCTGAGACTAACTCTTTTTCTAGTTTTTATAAACAATCTGCATCAACCTAGTGGAAGAGTATGTTACTCTTCTGCCTCTAACTGTAATAATAAACAAATGAAGACAAATTGTTTACAGTAGTAGTTTTCAGACCAATTGGGTGAAATTGTATAATTTTACACTGTGATACACACTCACCGTATCCCACAATGCCAGCTGTCGCTCACTCATACGGCTGAAGCCAGTGGTGAGGATTTTTCCATCTGAGAGAAAGACAGCTCTCATAGGCCTGGTGCCGTCATGAACCTTCTCTCTCACCTGGTTGAAGAATTGTGGGTTTTATTCACAGGTACTGGAAGCAAAAGTGCAAAAGCCTATCTTGCAAATAAAATAAAGTAAAATAACCTTGAGTACTGTGCCTCTTCGGGGGTCAATGACACGCAAGGCCTTGTCTTTGCAGACAGTGCAGAGGACGCTGCCATCCTTGTTCCAGCTCACATTGTAGATTAGGTCTGGGTGGGCGTCGGCCAGCTGATACACCAGCTCCCCCGTGCCCACATTCCAAACACAAACGACGTTATCGCAGCCTTAGAAGGAATACAAAGTTTATCAAGATTGTTTGAGGTTATTTTAAAGAACCAATGTATACAAAGCATCTTTAAAGATCCATGTTCTGAATTGTAACACAACAGTGCTGTACCATCAATGCTGATGGTACAAACAAAACAGCAGCGACTGCATCTGATTTTGTTGTCCATGTTGATTGCTCTTTTTCCATGTAAAACAGCTGTGTCAGAGGGCAAGCCTCTATGCAAAGACAGAGACCATGTTGCACGATGGAGGTCACATCCACAACCTTTCCTTTACAGCGAATTCCCAAACTAATAAAGTGTTATTTTTTATTTATTATCCAGATCATTGACTATTTTACCACTGATGGTAAAATGTCTTTTCTTGCCCTAAATTGAAGTTAGAAAGCCTAAAATATGTATTATTAAGCAATTTCTTATACTTAATTAGAAAATTGCAATTTAATTTTCTTGCCCAGTAGACACATGTCAATGTTAAATGAGTTGCTCAGTGTTAATACTGAACAGGGAACTAATCAGTTACAGGGCCAGTAGCTCAATATTAAGGTTTAATAAATTCAAACTTAATACATGTTCTGGAGATGGTCACAGTAACAGAATAAGCCTACACAAAGTGTAATTATTTTGAATGTTGTTTTGATCCTAATCACATCCTCATTACACACTGTGCAGCACAGTATGAATTGCAGGTACAGGACATCCAACTCCTTGCTTGTGCTGTATAATGCAAAAGTATTTGAGCTGGCTGTCACTGAACACCACGGCAAAGAGATTAGAGATGTTCTTCAACTCTCACTACCATTCAAGTCAAGGCAGTATATGACTTTCCAGTGCAGTGTTACGATTGATGCTACCTGCAGTCAGGAGGATGTTAAAAGCACTCGGGTGCCAGGCTAGGATGCCCACTCTTTTACTGTGGCCCTCAAGAGTCACAATGGCCTCAGTCATAGGACTTGTCAGACCTCCATCTGGGACCTGCCACAACTACACAAAGCAAAACACACAACCAAAAAAACAATTATGTACTGAAGGAGCCAGAACTGCTTATTTATGTTATGACATGATGATATCCATCTATGCAGATGACGCCCTGCATTTTAAATGCTTCCAGTAAATGTACTAAAGTGTAGTTCTACTTCTGGTCTGCAGGGATTAGGTATGTGTGGATTAATAACAGATTCTATTTGCACATATATTAAAAACCTACATTTTCATCCCTGAGATGCACAATTGTTCACACTTTTTTAAGTTGCTCATTTGCCATGTATTATACCTTCACAGTGCAGTCCTCCGAGGCACTAGCAATGATGTTGTCATCATGAGGTGACCACTGGAGGTCCAGCACTGGCGCAGCGTGGCCACACACTGTCGGACAGGACTGATCAATTCTGCCACTCTGTGATATAAACAGTTACCGTTATCTACAACAAAAAAGTAACCCTTACAAAAGAAAGGCCATGTACACTCTGTATGGCTATATGGTTACAATAGTTGTCTATAAATGGATAATATGTGCTAAATAAATACTAATAATAAATAATATACCTCCAAATCTTCATAATAGGGCAGAGGAATAATCAACACATTCTTGTATCTGACATGAAGTTACTGGACTTCATAGTCATGCTGTTCAACATGACTAACCTGCTCCACGCCCGGTGAGAATGAATGTGATGTGCTGTAATATGGTATGAAAGATATGCAATGCACTTGAATGACTGATTTTTCAAATAGAATTTGATTCCCAAATTGTTAGCTAAGCTAAACATCATTTAAATTTTAGAATTATATTATCTAAATCAATCTAAATGTGTATATGTCATTATACACGTATGTATAAAGATATTGTACATGCATATATACACACATATACGTATATATGCATACATGCATATACTTTATGCATACTGTTACAGAGCAACAGCAATCTCTGCTGGGATTAAATGTAAGAAATGCTCATGAACATGTGACTAAGGAAATTTAAGTTAATCAAAAATTCCAATATTATCATCCTTCTACTGTAAAGGCAAAGTAGCAAAAGCTACTAATGTCACAATGTCAGTATTACTGACTTAACTGTCCAACACTGAACAAAATGCTCTAGTAGAACACTGATCTATTGTTTATCTGATGCTGGACACGGTGAAGGACAGTCGAACCTTGCTGATGGGAACGACCAGGAAAGCACCTCCTCCACCTGCTTCGATGACGACAGCGATGAATTTGGGGTTGACCGCACAGAGGGGAGAGTCCCATGTCACGCGGGACACCCTGACATCATCAATGCAGTGCTCCGCTTTCCATGCCTGGGCATAAACATGGCGGAACTTGCTCTGCCTTACAACGCCACGCCGAAAAGACATGTCTGTAGGGAGAAAAAAATGTGGTAAATTAAAAAAATTAATTTCAAATAAACACAGGAATTATTTGACATTATGAGCAGCTCTGACTCTTTACGACTTTTTATTTTTCGTCATCAAAACATTAAAGCTGATTACTTGCATGCATGTTTTTTTGGCAATGAAACAGAATCTGAAATACAAACAGTTGAATACAAAAAATATAGACTACACTTAACATTATGAATTAGGGACTTTTAAAGCAATCTGCACTGTGTTCAGCTTCACTTAAAAAACATAAATATTATGTAAATATATTTCACGTATTTTCAAGTCCTTTTTTAAAATCATTTAATAATTTAATTTCAATCCTCTACCTCTAGCAATTTTGTTTTTTGAAAAATAGTATTTTACATAGCTTTTTGCATGTTGTTTTGCAGATGTCTAATTTTTTTTAACACATTTGTGTAACATGTGCATAATGACAATAAAGTAATTTTTATCGGCATCTAACGTACACCCACTAGATCTATTATGGCTTGTTTGTAGAATCTGAGTGTCAAGTTTCCTTCATGCTGGCCGATTGTCCTGTGTCCTGAAAAGTACAGTTCAGCTCAGGCTGTGGACAAAAGGATATAGTCTGCCCAAGATCAAAAGATGCAGGAGCATTAGGGTGTGGGGGGCGGCGGGGGGAGTCAGGGCCGCTGAGGCTCAGGAGTCAGTAACTCTATCTGCCACCTACTGTACCGAAGGTTTCACACTTGTCAAAGCAATTTCCTACGAGCTTGCGTCTTTATGAGATGATGGAACTGTGAAACTGCTCGAGACTGGAACATTTTTTTCTGGGTTTTGGGGTCGAGATTGCTAAATTCGAAGCTTCTTATTTTAATTAGACAGCTTACAGTTACCTGATGTGCATATTACTTTACCCACGTTCTACCCAATTAAACACATTTAGCTGCAGTGTTCTCGGCACACCTTACAGAGAACGCCAGGGCAACAAAGGACATGTGCCACTGTGTAGTTAATTACACACTGCATTGAAGTGGAGTTTATTTGGGAACAATAACATACCTGTGATATTTTAATTGGGTGACTTATCCTAACTGGGATTCAGAAAATCTGCAGACTCGTGACAGGAGGAGGCCAATAAAATAATCCACCGCGAACAGCAGCAGTAACTTAATCCTCTCCAGTGTCCAGGCAGGCGTTCACGTCGACTGTGCTGCTGCCTGTAACAAAAAACAGCAACCCATTTCCGTCATTTGCTTCACAAAATCAGCTATTCTCTTGCCGCCCGGTCAAAAATAGCATTTCTACGTGCGTACCGCGATGATAAGCCTGACCTGGTAGTGCATTTTACGTGTTGGTTTATCCACATGAAACAGGATCCGGCTCAGGGCTGGTGATGCTAGTGTGTGAAGAGATACAAAATGCTCCTGCTCCCTCCCTGGCCCTTTCAACACAGTGCTCTTTAGCAGACCGGAGCGGAATCCCAGGCATTTCCGGTCCAGACAGGATGCTCCAAGAAGCACAAGATTCGGGAGGTGTATCGGTCCTAGTCATTTTATTTGAACTCCACTTACACTTGGCTCTGCTCACCTAACCTTCGCATGTTTCCTTGTTTTATTTATTTAATGATGTACAAAGTGTGTGCATAATGAGTCTTCGTTGTCACTTAATTGAAAATGACCAGAGCGCAACTGCAAAAACGGTTTGCATGGGGTAATGTTTAGCATCAATGTGGTTGCAAATAAAATTAATGTGATCTCGGTGTCCGTGAATATTATTTATCAAGTTGCTTAAGGAGATAAAATATAGTAGAGGACGTGCTGTTTAATTGTATATGAAGAAAAGAAAATAGTGTCATACCTTAATTTGTCCGCGAGATTGTCTGTATCAAATATTTTTAAAAAGTTTCCTGACTTTCCTTTCCATGTCTGTATCAGACTGGAGCTGGTAAACAGTTTATGGCTTTGTTGAACAGGTTCTAGTAAATACATCTAACTCTCTGTATTCGCTCTACCTACTGACTCTGCAATCGTTTATGTGGAAGAATAAAACGATAAGATTTGTTCTTTTTTGCAAATTAAAAACAAAAATGATTTTATGGTAATGATAATGCACCGACACTGACAACTGGCTTACTGGATTGAACTTGATCATTGTCTACAACAACGTGAAAAATACATTTATTGATTGGTTTAGTATTTTAAGTCTGAAATTTAGAAACACTTTTTGTGACATTTCAATGTTTGTATGTGGTTATACTTTAATCTCGAAAGGCTCTAGTCAATCGCTAATTATAAATATAGTTTTAAGTAACGCTCTTATATTATATTATATTGGTAATAGTTTTGACCAATGACTGTGTACGGTTCAGTGTTTTTGATGTGATGTCATGTGTGACGTATCCCTCAGTTGTTTACTGTTTTTTTTGTTTACAGACCCTCCGCTTATATTTTCACCACGTTAAGTCTGTGCGAGTCAGCTATCTTAACAGCGAATTTCCTTTTTTTTTTGTTAATATCCGTCTCTTCCGAGTTAATTAATATTGTGAAATTGTTGGGTATTTCTTGTAATGAAAGACTAGCGAAATTACCATTTTATTGTGGGCTTTTGGGGCCACCTGGTGTTCAAGGAAGTTCATAACAAGTTTGTGACTAAAGTCATGTGAAGCTGTACAATGCGACAAGCCAATTTACTTTATAATTCAATATTTGACTCAAAAACGATCAAACTATAATAAATCGCCACATTGCTTATATACATGTTAAATACGTTAAGCCGGCCGTTTAGCAACAAGTGGCTCCGTGGCGCAATGGATAGCGCATTGGACTTCTAGACACTGAAGAAGTGATTCAAAGGTTGTGGGTTCGAGTCCCACCGGAGTCGCATTTTGCTTTTTCAGGCCAGTAATTCCTTGCGTTTTTATTTAAAATGTTATGATATAAGATATGTCAGATAACAAATACATTATACACATATTATACATGGTTTTCTAAATAGTTATAATCCCCAGCATATTTACACGACATATCCGATGCCACTGGGTTTTGCAAAAATTTGGTTTTTCAAACACTAGATTTTCCAAACATTTCCGGTTCGTATTTTAACTATTCGCTGTCGTTAAATCATACAAATGTTATCTTTAGAAGCGTTGTTGCACATGCGCAGAACCATTTGGGTTTATGGTCCGGACCGGGTAGTTACACCTAGTTTCTCCACGGGACAGAATAGTGATGCACCGGGTGTATCTGTGAGCTAATAGGCTAGTTGGATGTAGCAGGCTAGCATCAGTGTTCTTCGTCGTACGCAGATGTAGATCAACCGCCATTGAAACATTTAGCGAGGGATACAAATGAAACTTCTTACTTTATTTCACTGTTGCGCTACTACTAACGGGGACGTCATTCATTAACCCAATTCCTTCGCTAGCCTATAACCCACTTAGCTGGCTCACTAGCCTCTTTAGCGCGGTACAGAGGCGCACGGTTGTCAAAGTTAGCCGTGTCTTCACTGGGTGTCTGGTTTGCCTGATCTCGCATTTCGGACACGTCAAGGTAAACATTCGTCGTCAGCTAGTTTGGACTCTCGGCTAATGTGCAAACACTGTTGCCCGTGTATCTTGTCGGCTTGTTGTTGTAAAAAAATACAAGTAGCAACTATTGGAGTTAAGGTTAATATGCCAAGAGTCGCGTTTTCACTTTAGAACTCTGTTGCTGTAATCCATTATTAACTTGATTTCCTCCCAATGTCGCTGAAGCTAACGCTAGTTAGCTTCTGCTGTCAAGACTACGTTACATAATCTTACTGTTTCGTTCCCTTTTTAAAAATAATTTGGGCATAACCAGATACGTTAATGATTGTTACTAGTTAGTGACTAACGTCCCTGAGATGACACGACTATTAGGTTGCACAATATCTAATTTTAATAATCAATATATCGGGGTGTTCATATTATTAATAGGATACATAACAATTCAATCATACTTTTTTGTAAGTATATAAAAAACTATATTATGAAAGGTTTTCATCTAAAATTGGTTAATGAATCAGTGTTGATTCAATGGTTAACCTTTGACCTATGACCATGAGCTTTACTGCAGTGATATTGATTTGTGAGGTATTTCACTACATTTTTAGTTGTTTTAGACTTACACTACAGTTGTGATTCATCTATGGTGTGTTCAGTAATTCTATGCTGTTTAGATTCTGCTTTAAAATATTATTAATATAAAAATAAAGATGTCACTGTAAAGGAATTCAAAAGTATTTTCTATATAATTTCTTCTGGCAGAAATGGGATGTAAGGTATCTACTGGTGTTTTTTATAATTTATGAATTGATGTTTCAGATACCCAAGAATTCATATAATTCAGCTGTCTTGTCCACAGAGGCTGCCATGTTGGATTATCATGGTGTGACACCTACTCATACTAAGGCAACTTAATAACTTTTGAATTTTTAATTATAAAGGCAACCAGTGTGTTTGGCAATGTGCTTTGATGGGGCTAGTGGAGATAAAGTCATTTATCACATGACTGTCAAAACCATGTCCTTAGTTATTTTATCATTATTAATTATTACCATTGATGTGAGATATTAAGTTGTTAGTTTTTTGAATAATGTAGCCAAAGAAAGCCACTTTAAATTGTGATTAATCTGTTGAATAATTTAATGATTCAGAGCTTGCTCTAATACAAGCCTTACCATGAAACTCCTACTTTTATTTATTTATTTTTTTAAATCTCATGTTCCAGAAACTTGTGTTGAATCAGAGGGGGGTGTGATGTCGGAGCCAAAGACCCCCACTCCTTCCCCAGCTGGTGATACTTACAAAGGATGGGTATTCAAGTGGACAAATTACATCAAGGGTTATCAGCGCCGGTGGTTTGTCCTAAGCAATGGGCTGTTGTCATACTACAGGTACTGTATGCACAACCCCATCACAGAAGACCATTAAAATCTAAAGCCAAAGTTCATGTCATTTCACATAATCATTTTTCCTGTATTGGTTCACAGTCTTAAGCATTAAATTGTCATAAGCTTTTGAAAATGCAATTACTGTCTTAATGTCTATGATAGTATTACCATTTCTTTTACACTGGCACTGTGTCTCAGAATCCTTGGGGTGGGTGTCTTGACACCTCTACCTGATTAGATTAGCATTCAATGATGAAACAAGCCTCTGAAGTCATTGTGTTTAATACAGCTATAATAGCTATAATAAAACTTTGATAAACCATTTAATGATTTTTTTTTTCTTAAACATACAGTATATGGGCAGTTTAACTAATAATTTCAGGCAACGAACAAAGCAGTATCGGCCTGAAACTGTGCTGATGTTATTGTTTTTTTTTCCTCCCATGACTTGGCACTATTGACGTCACAACCACGCAAGCTGACTCAGAGGGTAATAAAAACACCACAGGGCAGAGGCAACACTTTCAGTCTGAATGATGTTAATCAAGTCACGTTGACTGGTTTTGCTGCTAAAACAATAGTTTTTAGTGTAAATATATATTAAATGTGTGCATACTTTAATATTACTATTATTAAGGGTTGGGTTTAATAGTGTTTTACTTTCAACATATTAATATGTGAATGTATTGAAGGTCAAACCTGATAACTTTGGACATTGTTCAAGTGTAATAAATTGTAGAAATGTAATAATGGAACATCTTCCTGAATGGCATGGATCAGAAACCTTTTTTTAACTGATACCAGTTCCACAGCTATTGTGGCACATTTGGATCCATAACATTATTATTGCATATAACACATAACTTTTTGTTATGACTGTATTAATAATAGTCTATACAACTGTTGATTTGTGTGTTGAACCATCATTATCTCCTTTATGCGGTTTCTTCTTGCTTTCGTATGAAAATCTTTAATTTGCAGTTGCTGCTTTCATTTTCAGTCCAAAAACGATTCACACAAAACAGCCACTTAGTTTGTTTTTTATTGTCTATTTTCATTATCCTTCCTTATACCCAGACTGATCACCAGGACCCAGGCAGAGATGGGTCACACATGTCGAGGCACAATAAACTTGGCCACGGCCACTATCACTGTAGATGACGCCTGCAACTTTGTCATCTCCAATGGCGGCACACAGACGTATCACCTGAAGGCGAGCTGCGAGGTGGAACGTCAGCGCTGGATCACTGCTCTGGAGCTGGCCAAAGCAAAAGCAGCACGGATGCAAGCTGAGTCAGGTAAACAAGTGGACACAAGGGAGTGAGATCTGTCAAAAATGGGTGAATGACCTCCAGATTATTTGATAAGGCAAGTGTGTTTTAGTGTCATTTTAGCCCTGTACAAGTACAAGTACAAAGTGAGACAAAATTATGTTTCCACAGGAACAATTTGGTGCTACTTCTAACACTTTATAAAGACAGCAAGACAAGACGGGACATATCTATACACAAATATTTAACCTAAATCTGCACAATTACGATATTTATAGGACACCAGGACAACAGGAATGACAGCCCTACTTTTGGTAGATATTGTATGTTCATAGTTGTTGGTTGAGTAGATGAAACGCATATGCTGTCTAAATAAATATATAAATAGCAGCAAAGATCAATATAGTATATGAAGATAAATATATAAATAGAAGGAGAGATAAATATATAAAATGGTTATACAGTATATGTACAGTATACATTTATATATTTAAATAGCAGCAGGGAGAAATATATGCATTATGTCCAGAGTGTATATAAATATATATAATTTTGTTTTTTAATCCTTTCCTGTGTTTTTGCCTGTGAACAGATGATTCTGGGGATGACTTTCCACCCACATCTGCACCTACGGTACCTGGGCAGGGTGGTGCTTCTCAGAATTCAGAGGTGCAGTCTGCCCTCAGAACGCTTGGCAGTAAAGTGGAGGATCTGAGCACGTGTAATGACTTGATCTCAAAGCACGGCACTGCCCTCCAGAGGTCAGTCTTTAGAACTCTCCCTCGTTAGTCTAAAAAATGGTAACATGTAAACTTTTCCAATCTTTTAACAGATGATCTATCTTTCATTCGTTTTTTTTAAACATAATGATGGTTTTCACCTTAGGTGTGGTGTGAAACTGCTCACATCAGAAGTATCCAGACCAACTTGGCTTGAACTATAAGGGAGTTGTACAGTGTTTATTTATGCCGAAACAATGACGGTTTAAAGCTGATTGTTAAGGTGTGGTGTGTGACTGTTTGCAAAAGCATGTTGATGAGTCTTCAGATAAATGCATGAGAAAGCTCAAGTTCTAAAAATAAACATGCCAATGGTCTTCAAGATGGTTTCAACAGTTTGTGCGTAATTGTGTTGTATTTTTTATATTTCAGATCCTTGTCAGAACTGGACAGTTTGCGTCTGACAGGAGAGGCAGGGGATAAGATCCGTCAGGTCACGGAAAGAGCTACCCTTTTCCGCATCACCTCCAATGCCATGATTAATGCAAGTGTTGTTTCCTTCCGAGTGGTTTACAGTATATTTGATTGCTGTGTAATAAAGTGTCAATGCTGATGCTGCTTAAGAGGATGGATCTTTAGCAATCCAAACTTAATTTAAGGCTTAGTTGGTATACATGGTTTACATGTGGTTGAATGATTTTTTTTGTTGCCCCTCAGGCGTGCCGCGATTTTCTGGCTCTGGCTCAGGCCCACAGTAAACGATGGCAGAAGGCCCTGCAAGCAGAACGTGATCAGAGAGTGCGACTGGAGGAGACGTTAGAGCAACTCGCCAAACAGCACAATCACCTGGAAAGGGCATTCAGAGGGGCTGCACAGGCTAATGCCACAGCAGACAATAAAAGTATGATAGGATTCTCACAAAATGGCGATTGAAATTCCTAATCCTTCCCATTTGTGTTATAGTTCAACCCAGGGGAGTTCCATTAGATATCTTTCATCGTTTTAGCTTTGGAATTTCAACATGTTTAGAGTTCACACCTAGCTTAAGCCAAAATCCTTTGTTTCCTGGTCAGGTACGGCTGGGTCACGCAAGGGTGAGGCGAGCGATGAGGACGATGACAATGAGTTCTTTGATGCTATGGAGGAGGCGCCTGAGTTCATCACAGTCCCTGCAGACCCACAGTTTCACAAGTCAGTAGTTTCAATAGAGGCACATGTGTTTGTGCAGGAACAAGTCCAACGTGTGATTTTCCCTCTTGAATACACTTCCTCGAAGAACTTGCATGTACAGTTTGAAGTGATTTATTGTTCATATTATTGTCTTATACAGTCTGTGTCATATGTTGCTGTCAATTTCACCCAAGCATCTAAAGTCATCTCTCTTGTTTTTTGAAACTAAAGGCGCTCTAGCAGTAACATCAGTGGATTCAACAGTGAAATATGTCCTGATGACCAGTCGGTATGTTCTGCCAACACTAGTGTTGTGCTCTTCTTTAAGAGTGTCAGATGTTTAATCGGATTGATCACAAGGTAGCTGTAGATTAATTACATTGAATCACAACTAGAATAAGTCAACATTCCTCAATATGAAAAAACACATTTTTTGTCTGTAAACCGCTGGAACAAAAAGACAAATAACAGCAGGTAGTTGTCTTTGTTTCACACCTATTTTATTTTTGACTAATCCAAAGGATGGGGTTATTAATATGAAAACATTAAGACAATACACAAAAGTTAAAGTTGAAATTTATCTTCATATAGTTGGTGAATTTCGTGATTACTTTGGATTTTGACGTTGGTTTGTAGAATGCGTTGAGAGTTGCTTTCAAAACTTCATTGAAGTCCTCAACAATATTAATCAGACTACAGTCCCTCCACAGACTTTAGTTAAATTCCAGTCTAGTGAATTTGTAGTTTAGTCAATTCCTCAGTTATGAGACAGTAAAATAAAAACATTTGTCCAGTCACTCAGGTGAGGAATCTCTGTCATATACTTCAGACACTTTTGTTGCTTTCGTCCTTTTAGCTCAATGACGAGCCCCTCGCCATGAACCAAGAGTCGCCCTCTCAGGAGCTGGTGCCATTGAAAAAGAGGAGAACACGAATCCCAGACAAACCCAACTACTCCCTCAACCTATGGAGTATCATGAAGAACTGCATCGGCAAAGAGCTGTCCAAGATTCCCATGCCTGTGAGTAGCTCCTACATGGAAACATCTCACATACTTTTTCACTTGCGGGGGGTGGAGGGGTATTTTTTCTCCTTTTTTCTCTATTGTTTTTTTGCAACCATTTTGTTTGCCTGCCACAAGGTAAACAACAGCTAAAGGTCACACTGTCTGTCTGCTGGCACCTGTGTGTGCTCATCATGTGGGTTTAATCACACAGTCATTCAACGTGAAGTCTGTGCCACTGGTTTGTCAACATTCTTCAATGCTATTAGAATTAAATAAATAAAAATCTTCTTTGTCACGTAAATTGGGATGCGTCACAGGGTTATATTTAGACAACACACGGTTAATTTCCAGTAAACTCTGTGAGAAATTTATTTTCTGTTTTCCCAGTGAGAGGGTTTGGTAAGCCTGTGTATTCATCCAGAAGCGTGGACATCCAGAAGTATTGACAAGTTAATCACATATGCTGGATTATTACACACTATACATTTTATAATTAACATTCTGTATATTGTGTTAACTCTTGTATACCAATATCATACTGAAAATAGATTTATGAGTCGACCCTAAATTAAACAATCTAAGTTAGACCAAAATATATTGTATTCCTATTAAAATGATCTTTATTTACACTGATACTGATGTTAAGGTTAGGATTTATTTACTTGATGCTGGTTATGTTGTTTCTTTAAATTTAATGATAATAAAATGAGCCTCAATAATAATAAGTCGGGCTTTCTTTTCCAATGTCCATTCCCATTCATTAAAGCAGAGGGACTTATTTTGATTTTAGTTTTAGTATTTAGATGACAGATTTTTATTGATTCTTAGCAAGATCTCAACATTACTAAAATTTGGGATTAGATTAAAAAATGTATGAATGAACAGAAACACCCAGGCAAAGCAGTATAGGTAGTCAACTCTCCAGATGGGAGACATTTTTTTCTGTGTCAGAAACAGTGGTAAATATTCTGTATATGATGTGTAAATATGTTGAATAAATCATTTTGAGGTGTGTTTGAGAAAGAACCGAGTGAAAGTTCAACCAGCTGTTCTTCCTTATGAACAGTAGGTGGCAACCTGAGCTGTGTTTAGTCTCCGCATTCAGCAGGCAGGGATACGTGTCTGTCTGCAGTATGAGAGACAAGTAATATGATAAGCTTTAAGGAATTGTTTGTTTAATGTTATTGTCAATAAGAATACCAAAGTAGTTGTCAAAACAAATTTTGTATGCCTGCAGCAGTTTTAAATAACTGATCTGTGCTCTATAACCAAATGTTACAGCCTGTGGACAAAATGTTGACTTAGAGTATCTGAATGGCTGTGCCCTGTGCAGGTCAACTTCAATGAGCCAATATCGATGCTTCAACGGTTGTCAGAGGATCTGGAATATCATGAGCTGCTGGATAAGGCGGCCAAGTGTCACAATTCCCTGGAGCAGTTGTGCTACGTGGCTGCCTTCTCCGTGTCGTCCTACTCTACCACCGTCTACCGCACGGGCAAGCCCTTCAATCCTTTGCTGGGAGAGACGTATGAGCTGGACCGCCTGAGAGAGAGCGGCTACCGCTCTCTATGTGAGCAGGTGAGAGCTGAATGAGCATTTGTTCTTCTTCTGATGACAATAAACAATGTGCCTTGAGGGAAACGTGTATATCAGATGAATATCATAACTGACTCGGATGCTGTGGGAATTTTTTACTAAACGAGTCAATTTTTTTTTTTTCATCTCTGTTGGTTGGTAAATTTCTACAAATGTCTGCAAACTTTCCCAGGTGAGTCACCACCCTCCTGCTGCAGCGCATCATGTGATTTCTGATCGTGGTTGGACGCTGAGGCAGGAAATTACCGTTGCCAGCAAATTCAGGGGCAAATATCTCTCTATTATGCCCTTAGGTAAGAGTCGTTCTGCTTTAAAGCATCTCCAACATTAGATGTGGTTTAATGGTGACGTGGTTTCGAGGGTGTGCCGTGAGCACAGCATCTGTTTCCTGATGGAGACACTCAACCATTTACAACTTATCAGTCACACCACAGCTCAGTAGAATGTTGTCTGTCAGCGGGGAACAACAAACATTGATTTGTTTTGTTGGTAGTGACAATGATTCCTGTCATTTCCTCTTCCTTGTGCAGGAACAATTCATGCCATCTTTGAAAAGGGCGAACATCACTACACATGGAAAAAAGTGACCACCACAGTACACAACATCATTGTTGGCAAATTGTGGATTGATCAGGTGAGCTCAAAGGTCTTAAGCCCAGGTCACAAAGTTGATTGATCTTTGTATGACTAAAAAGTGACGGGTGAATCTTTTAACACCCTGGCCTGTGTACTGGCCCAGTCTTTAATAAATGTAATAAGCCAATAACAGCTCTTTTCTATGAGCCAAAATGATACCTCAAATCCTGAGGTACACATGTTGTTCTAACCATACATTAAATCAGATTTCTTTATTGCACCCCCCACTGAAAATCTCTTCAACTTCCTATTTCGTTTTCAGTCTGGAGAGATTGATGTCGTCAACCACACCACAGGAGACCGCTGCCACCTGAAGTTTGCACCGTATAGCTACTTCTCCAGAGATGTGGCCAGGAAGGTTGGGAAAAGCTTGTGTTAAAGTTCCAGTCTTTCCTGGAACAGTTTTTCTTTAACGCAAACTTTTTTTTCTGTTTGTTCAACAAATTGTCTAAGTTCTACATTGTGTTTGTGGATATTCTCAGTCATCCCGGTCATCATAATAATCTCAAAAGCAGTTTTTAAAGTAGGCAACTGGATTCACCTCAAGTAAGTACCTCTCATCCAAGAGGCTTCATCAGTCCTGGTGGGGAGTTTCCAGGTATGTATTCACCCAAAGGGGGGTGTGGTGTTGAGTAAAGTGGACATGGGCCTGAACAATATGATCGTTAAGTGGTCTTGTGAGTTGTTGGCTCTATGGTGGATTGTTCGCTCTCCCTGTCCTCTGGGAGGGGGTTGTTGGAGTTACCTGAATAGTGTGAATTACGGCTGCGCAGCCTTTTGGGGTGGATAAATACCTGGAAACTCCCCACCAGAAAAATATAACCAATGAAGCCTCTTGGATGAGAGGCGAAATGTCTTCAACTTACTTGAGGTGAATCTAGTTGCCTACTTTAAAATTGCTTTTGAGATTCTTCTACACTGTGACACAATACTCTGTTAAAGCCACTGCTGGGTTTGTTGTTTTGTTTTTTTTCATATTTGCTGCTTGACTGAACCAGTGTAGACATTCACTGTTCACCTTAAATCATCTCTGTTTCCACTTGAGTGTGACCACACTGCAAACAGCACAATAATCTCCAAGCCAGTCTCAAGCTGCCAGTTCATGAGCCACTGTTTGCCCGTGAATCCCCAAAATCGGGCCCAACTTCACAGGCTTATTGCCGTTTGAAGGCAACGGCACAGGAAAGTACCATTTTCAAACAGGGCTGTAAAGAATCCAGCTGTGATCTGGCATTCAGTGTTTTTCACATGCTACTAACATTTAATTTAGAAATCAAAGAAACTTTTTAAAATTTGCAAAAATGTAGCTTAATATGTGCCACACGATACAAGTCTCCAATAACTCTAACTAAAGTAAAAAAATATCCGTGAAGATATAAAAATGTGGATGAATTGTTGTCATTCTATAGAAACTATAATCATCTCACAAGTATCCAGCACGTGTTGGATGTTTTTATATTTCATTTGATGTTAAAGTTGGGAGGGCTAGCGATATCCAACATCTCACAAGCACAAGCCTCTCTTCCCTCATTACTCCAGGTGACCGGAGTAGTGATGGACAAAACCGGCAAGGCTCACTATGTGCTGTCGGGCACGTGGGACGAGAAGATGGAGTTCTCCAGGGTGATGCAGAGCAGCCGCGGCGGGGAGAATGGAACCGAGGGCAAACAGAAGACAGTCTACCAGACACTGAAGGCAAGGGAAGTGTGGAGAAGGAATCCTCTCCCGTAAGTACGGTTAACAGCTGTGTCATTTACTCAGCGTATCATCAGAGCCAATCAGTGTCTCTTTGTTCAATGACTCATTTGAGAACCCTGTGTTTTATTTACACTAAATTGTTTAGTTAGGAACCACTTGTAATTTAGACAATGGAGAGGGCAGCTGACAGGAGCCTCTCAAATGACGTGTTTCTTGATATTCACTGTTTATCATGTCAGGGATGTGGCCTTTTTGTCCAAATATGTGACCTAATTTTGAAGTTGGATGCATGTGACCAACCAAATAATTATAAGATAAAATATACCAAGCCCTTAAGAAGTACACAATGTGCACTACAATAAGCCGAAATTACCTCTGTTGAGTCATAAGCTGGCTGGATTCCAAAGTTTCAGTACATCAACTGTACCTAAAAAAAGCCATCCAGATAATGATACATATATGTCATGTCATTCCAACAGAGAATGACATGTCATTTTAGTGGTATATACTATGTTGAACCCTTGTGACATTATGTGTCACAACGACAAATAATTCACTTTTCAAAGCTGACAATGTGGCTTGTTCAATTTCACACTGTTCCTACACACACGATCCATGGAGCATTAGAATGATGATCACAAGGGTTCAACATTGATCACAAGCATTCAACATGGTGTGCTGTGAAATAATTCACAGCACACCACTGCACACCAAATGTGACCTCTCATTTTAACCCATCACCAAAGTGAACAGTGGGCAGCTTTAAGCACCGGGGAAGCAGTGTGTGGGGACGGAGCCATGATCAGTGTATCTCAGTGGTAACTTGGCAGCTGGTGGACTCTAACTCTGAAACATTCCGGACTCAAGTCCCCTTCCTTAACTACCAAGCCACCACTGCCCCTAAAATAAGGGGAAGTGTTTTTTTTTCTTCTTAATCCGGGGTTAAAGTCTGATTCAGAAAAACTCTACATCATGACAGCTGTGAATAAAATGGACATAGCTCAACATGACAACATGAGTGCTATGCACACATCTAAACAGAAATAAGGAAATAAAACATGATTTTAAATTCCTTCGTTATCAATGCGAGGAAGGCAGTGTTCCCGGTGGAAGAAAAAAAAACAACACTTTTGAATCAACAGTTTAACTGGAACTTGTACTGCAATGTCACCGTGTAATGTTACCATGCTCTGTCATGGCTTCTGATCTTTGTCATTCATAGACCCCTATTGGTGGGTTTGTTTCAGATCAATAGCCACGTTAAATGACACTGTTGTGTATCTTTGTGTTGACCACAGCGACGGAGCAGAGACCATGTACTACTTCACTGCATTGGCCCTTACCCTCAATGAGACAGAGGAGGGCGTGTCCCCCACCGACAGCCGTCGTAGGCCTGACCAGCGTCTGATGGAGGATGGCCGCTGGGATGAGGCAAATGCTGAGAAACAGCGGCTAGAGGAGAAGCAGCGCAGCGTGCGTAGAGAAAGAGAAAGGGAGGCGGCCAGCCAACGCACTTCCAGCCAATCAGAAGAAGGTAGGTCTACAGTATGTTGGTGGATCAGGGTGTCTCGTGCGTGTGATTTTTTTTTTATTTTATTTTAATTTTATAAAGGTTTAACCCTGAAAAAAAATAGTTTGTAAACACCTTGTCTTTTCCATAAGCTGTCGATGAGGATTCTGACCTCTCCTTAAAAAGCAAGTATCTCCCTCTCCTGTCACCTCCAGTTGCTTTTGACCTCTGCTCCAATCATCTGTGGTGAGTGCTTTATTTTCTGCAACACCTATTTTTTTTCTCTTCCAGGCGCTCATCACGACAACTATGAGGCTCGTTGGTTCAGCAAATGCGAAGACCAGATCACAGGTGAGCAAGTTCATTTGTATAAGGGAGGATACTGGGAAACCAAGGACCGTGGGAACTGGGAGGACTGCCCCGACATTTTTTGACCTCAGAGTTGAACACAAAATCTCCGAAGACACTAACCCTTCAAAGCTGCCTGGGGGGGCAGGGGGCGTGACTACAAAGGCCCTGCCTGCCCTTCACCACAGACGTCTGCTTCCTTCCACTGTCTCTCTGTTCTAAGAGATCTTCAGTGATGTCACTTCTGTCTCAGCCAGAGGGAGCAGGGTTTCCTCTGGCCTCTTGTCTTAGACTCTTCTCCCTGTGTTGCTGTCGTACATCTGAGAATATTCCATTGCTGCTGTGACCTTGGTGGTGTGGTGTTGGAGACAAAAGGGGAAGGGAAAAAAAAACAACCTCTGGGTCATGCTTCCAAATCTGCTCAAATGAGTTCAGGGCAGAAGCCTCTAAGATACTGAAATGTCCCTGTCGTCATCCTCAATATTATGGGCGTTGTTAATAACTCTAAAAAAGGGGGTTAAGACCTGGATAATATATAGATAGATAGATAGATATCTATCTATCTATCTATCTATCTATCTATCTATCTATATATATATGTATATATATACATATATATATATATACATATATAAATATGATTTAAATATTTGAGTCATGTAAAAACTGGTGGCCTTGTAAACATTGGTGAGGATTCTTTGTTCATTTCTCTGGTTTAGTGTCTTAACGAAGCAAAGTTGAGGTTTAAGTGTGCTCGTGTGTATGACTGTGTATCTGCTCTTCCGTCATGTCACACTCCTGCCAAGCTGCAGGTGAATAAATGAATTAAAACATGAAAAGATGTGATCAATCTGAAGATGAGTTTATCCTCCACACTGTTGTGTATCTTTTTTATTATTGAGGTCTGAAGGAATTTATTGTGGTAAACATGTGGCTCCAGGATCTAAACACACTTTCTCTACTTAATGTAGAACGCTGCAATTACAGGAGATTCTCATGTTGGTTGCTGGTTTTTTTTTCTTGTTTTGTTTTTTTAATACACATCCATTAATGAAGTACTTGGGTGGAGGACAGGCTATGAAGCTTGAAGCTCAGTAGTTTTAATCAAGGTAATGAAATTAAATTACAGTACTGAAATGTTTTTTTGTTGTTGCAAATTCTACATGGTGACAGTATTTTAAAAAAGGTTGGATACTTGCTGTGATAATTTTTTAAAAATAATGTTTTGGTGACAGTATCAAATGAGCAAGAACACAATGTTGAAGCAGTGGTGATGGTGGACGTCACCTGGTGTGCTGACAAACTCGTGCATATGCAAGTACATTTTAACACCAAAAAAATGGGATAGTAATGTGTGTGCATTGCATGACTTTGTAAGTGCACTCAGATATGAAGAATAAAAAAACTATGATTTTATGAATGTATAGAATTTCCCATTATGACATTAACAACGTAGTAATTCTTTCTATTGTCATATTGTCTCCTTGCACATTGTTGGTAGAGAACTGTCTTCATTTCTGATATTAAAAAAAGGGAGATTCCATTCTGGACACAGATAGAGCGTTGGTCACTATTTTGTATGAAAGAAAAACTATCCAATAAACAAATACTGTGATGTTAAGCATGGAGCTTTTCCTACTGTTGTTCACTTCAGTGTCTTGTAGAAATTAAAAATAAATATTCAAATAATATATATATAATTACAGTATAAATAAAGTACACACAGTATAAATACCAGATTATCAAAAGCCCTACAACTATTCTTTAAGAATTTTATCAATTGCAGCAAAAACCTACAGTACATATATTTGTATATATGGATGCCTATACAGTATATAGCTACATATATAGGCATACATATAGTACGTGTGTGTGTAGGGGGGCTTTACGGTGCTGAAATTTGACTCAAAAAATGTGTGCAGGCTGTTGTTTATATTCTATGTAAACATTTTGCTTTCACACAAGGTAGCTATTAGTTCTACTCTATTTTAATCAAATATATTGTCTGTCAATATTTGTTAGAACCTGTCATTTTTTCTTGAGCTTAAATATTTGCACAGGACACTTCAGACTGCAGTATTTACAAACCTACCAAATACTGTAATGTCTTGTCGAAATGAGTGTATACTTTTAGGAATCATTTTTTTCAAAATATATTTATTTGAGACAGACTCTGACACAGTGATGTGCCTTGGTATAGTGAAGTAAATGGATAAGTTTGCAGCATTAGCGGCACCACGTACATGGTAGTGTTAAATGTGAACAATGGGGTAAAAAAGGGACCATATAAAACCAGGGTAGAGAGATTTGTGCAGGTTAATGCTGTGACATTTCACTTGACGTTTAGTGTCATTTCTGCGGTAGTGTGAGTTCTGCTCATAATTAAGGTTGGCCAGGTAGCAGGCTGAAAAAAATTAATGATTTCAGCAATCAATGTGTTTAGTATTGTATTTAGTATACTAGTATTAGTATTGTTGTGTTTTTCGGTATTGTTGTGGCGTCTTGATGGTGGTAATGATGGTGCGGCGGGGAAGTTTGTACACACTGTAACTAATGCTTTACGTGGGCTAACCTCAGGTAACCTGTCTGATGCAGGTTGTCTTATTTTAGACACTGATCTTTGCCAGATAATCAAAAGAATTCAGGTCTGGGTGTAGAGGACATGTAATGGATCATGTAATGGACCTGAGCCAGTGCTACACCTTAAGTCATAAAGACACGTCAACAAACAACAAAACAAGTTAAGACACCTGCATTTTATGGTACTCTAAATATTGGTAAGGCTAATTTATTTACACTGATTCAGTACAGGTCAAAAATTTGAGGAAAAATTAGAAAAAAAAAAGTCCCACCAGGTCACAACCTGCTTCTTTGCATAGTTTAAGGACTGAATTACAGTTAATTTACTTTTGGTAAAAAAAACAAAAACAGATGGAGGGAGATCAAAATCTGATGAGCTTAAAAACTGAACAGGTTCCTATTTAAGTCTCGTTACAAATTTAATATTTTCTTCTGAAGAACCAGATCAAGTAAAATGTAACACAGCTCAATGGTTAACATTAGAACAAAAATGGTGTTGGAGTATCTTAGAGTTTTTTGACTTTCTTGTTCACCACACAATTATCAACCTTTAATTTGTATTATCTTTGATGCAGGACTTGAACACACACACACGTGACATCATAGCAGCAACATCATCACAGCCGCAGTAAATGAGTAACCAGTAACACCCTTGGTTGGCATTTAATTAAACTTTTTATTTTATTTTAGGCCACATGGTGAAGCCTTGACTCACTTTGTGGATTCACATGAAGAATTTTAATGTCTTCTATCTCCAAAAAGTATCCTATCCTAAAGTAAAAATTTTAAGCATTTTGCTCAAAGATTCTACTTGCAGCTGTAGAATAAAGTACATCTCATTTGTGTAATATCACCCGCTGCTCCTCAATCCATACACACGGGCAGATTATAAAAACAGGGTGGAGCCTGGTTCTGTGGAAGAGCCACTGTGATGCCATTGACATTGTTGTCATACCTTACAAATCCGCTCACAATAAAAGATTGTCCTTCCATTACTTTTATTACCATTATAGGTCTGTGGACAGAGGGTGAAATGAATCATAAAAATAACACAGACATTTGAAATGAATAATAACTAGTTATAACTTAGATTATAAAATATGACATTTGACGACACATGATTGAGTGCCACACGTCAACTCTTGCCGTGTCTCTTATTGAGAAAGGAATGCAAAGTGGTATTTAAAAGTAAAATGATGTGACTATAACCCACTTTTAAAAAACTTCAAATGTACAATTTAAATAAAAAAATATAAAATAAAGTGTAAACAATTGCACAGACACAGTATGGAGGAGTGGACAACAACATCTAGTGTACCCAAGGCTATAATCAATGGCAATAAATTTTGGCATCGTGACTAACATGACAGGCCAGTTTATAAATAACCAGCTTTGTAATTTTCACATTCATAGTTACGTATGTCCTGACAGTGTCTCTGCTGCTGCTGGAGGTTTCATTAATGCCCGCCCTCCACCATCTGACTCAGTCAATCAAAATCTGTACAGATTGAATGCCTGATAATTGGCGTGTAATAACAGAACATTAACTTTTATGGGGAACCAACTAAGTGTTGGAGCATTCCATGCTATTGTGAGTCAGAGGAAGAACAGTCACACTGATGATATTAATTGGAGGTTTTAGATCCCTATGTTCTGGCCCGTGGATCTAGAAAGGTTATAGGTCAAGAGCTTGTATTCAAAAGGGTCCAATTTGGTTGAAATTGGACCCTTGGCCAATGCTTTCTGCGTTGGCCAATCAGAGACATGTGACATCTGATTGTGAAACAACATCTGAAGAGCACTGGTGTATCTGTCACATTTTAAGAAATGTGGACTGTGACAGGCGGGTGTTGGCGTTCCATGACATAGTTGTAGTCCAGGGTCACTTATCAAACATTTGTTTTGGTGTGACAACACGTTCTTTATCTGCAGATATATCTGAAGAAATGACAAAGGCATCAGTCGTAAGGATCGGAAAGTAGATCCGCCACATTTTTGCCTGTGAAACATGGCCAGTGGCGACTTCTTCTTTCTGGATGCTTGCTTGTACTTCAGAAATCCCCACTTCCATTCAATTCCACGAATGAACCTCAGAGGCAAGGTGAGAACTGTGTAACGCCAAGTTAGTCAGCAACTGACACCATCAAAATCCAGCTTTTCAAGTCTTTAAAAAGGCTCAGAACATTTGCTTTAATTATTTAATTGTTGTTACAGCTAGAGTACACCTGGCTGAAGTCACACACTGTTGCTTTAATTAGACAGAACCATTCCAGCTGGTATGAGTGACTGTAAACAATTCAACACATTTCTTGACCTGTTCCCACCTAGCTGTACTGGTGCCACGGTGTACACGTTGATTTTTAAAGTACATTAACTCTTGTCTTTATTAATCAGTCACAAATGAATGTAAATATTTAAAAAAAATAGGTGATGAAAATGTGGGTCATGATTACTGGCAGTACAGACCAGGAAGTACATTTTTTCTAATGAAAATCATCTGAACATTTTGCACGTTGAAAAACAACGTTGTTTATTTCCTTATGACCACTGTAGTTGTTGTGTTCTGAAATAACATTGGATATTTTACAATTATTGACTACATAGGTTTGATTTTTTTTATATGGTGTACATATGTTTGAAAATCATCTTGGTTTCAATATACAGTTTAATTATTAAGAATTATGTTGATGTGCGGCAGACGTTTTCATAAATAAAAACATCCATCCATCCAACCAAACAAATAATAACCCACCAACCGAACCATCCATCGATCGCAAATCACATGAGCACAGGTGCATATGAAACAATATTTCTCTGCACTTCAGCTCGGATAAAGAGAAAAACAAACAAATCTATAAATGTAAATACCCAACATCACACAGCAGTTATATTTGTGTTTGAAAGGAGAAAGATTATTTTTATTACACTAGGCTGAAATCCATCACATTCATCTTCTGGAACTATGTCAAATAGTCCATCTATTCACAGGCTCTCTGATTCAAAAGAATCTATTTAAACTTTTTTTTTTACATTGTCCAAAAATAGAAATTCACAACATAGCATGGCAGCAATCATTTAGACATGTTCATAAATGATCATAGTGCAAAGGAATATTGGGGGGGGGGGGTGGCAGTGGTTATTACTATTGGTGACAACTAAAACTTATAACTTATAAAAAATCAGGAAGCAAATACAAGTGAAGAAAAATATGAAAAATAACAACACTTAATTAAATTGACCACTAGGATTTCATGAGTGCACTCCATCCACAGCACAGGAAAAAAGTCTATCAAAAGAATTGTATTACACAAAGGAATGAAGCTACAGTAACATAAATAAATATATGACAAAAAACGTATATAATGATAATGAAATCATCATTCTCACTATGTTGAAAACAATAGGAGCAGGAGGACAGCATAGCCTCCTGCTGCGCCTCACTCAGTGGCTGATGCTCACATTCCTAGACTAGGCTGCTTCCACACAATCAAAAATGAATAACTAGCATTGTTGTACCTGCTACAGATACCAAGGGTGTGTCCAAAATGTCAGCACATTTATGATGAAGTGTTGTTCAAAAGGGCAAACATGAATGTCACCACACCCAACTACTAAACCTTGCAGCCTATACCTAATTCTGTTTTTTAAATCCAATGTTTAAGTTTTATCCCCAAAGTGAAAGTGAACTCCTTATCATTGTGACACCACTGCACACAACCAAATGTGACCTCTCATTTTAATCCATCACCAAATGAACAGTGGGCAGCTTTAAGCGACTGGGGAGCAGTGAGTGAGGACGGTGATATGCTCAGAGCACCTTAGTGGTAACTTGGCAGCTGGTGGACTCAAACCTGAAGCCTTCTAGACCCAAGTCTGCTTCCTTAACTACTCAGCAATAGAACTCTCTGGTTTCAAATAAATTAATAAAATTCTTCTGGTTCTTTAGTCACTGGTTCTTAGTCGCTAGTTTGCTATCCCAGTGATGTCAAACACTTTTGATGACTTTGAAAATCAGTCCCTGTTGTGAACAATCAAGTCCCAACCACAGTGACACTGCATAGGTGATGAGTTAGTGAAGCAGTCCCCAACCTTTTGTCATACCAACGATCAGTATGGCCGTACTGGCCAATATCGAAGACAAGTAAGGACCCACTTATCGTTGAAGGATTGTTTATGATCAAAAAAATGCAACCACAGAGCCTTCTTTGTGTTTTTCTTAAAAAGTGGCCCCCACTTGGGGGCTTGGCGTTATTGCAGGTCAAATTAATTCAATTTTTAGTATTTGGGCAAGCTGGTAAAAACGTACTGATAAATAACTTTTAAATATTTCTTTGATAAAAAATATAAACTTTTCAGAATAAATAAGTGTTTTATCTTTTTTAATTCAAATGATTCTGAGTCTGTTAATCTGCAGTCCAGACCTTGTGTAATCTGGAACATTTCTGTCTTTCCTCTCTGGCCCTCTTTTTCAACTACAAGTCTGTCATTTAGATCATTTCTAATAAGACAGTTAATTGGATGAACTGATGGACCAGACGTATTTCACGGATCATGTGCCTAATTTTCCCCCTTGTGTTGTGCATATTTTAAGAAATGTCCTCTTGAATGACACGTTTATGGTCAATATATAAGTGCTTGCAGGTTATGTGAAGCTTAAGCATTTATGTTGTGATAATGTCTGATTTTAGGGGTTAAATTTGAAATGGTTGGGTTAGAAGTTTCATGTCTAAAAGATGATGAGTTTATAGCCTGGAAATTATTTTTGTTTTAATTAATAAATAAAATAATTTAATTAAATAAATATAGAGACTGAAAGTCAGCTGAACCCTGGTCTGTAAAAATATTTCAAAATACCCAATTAAGGGGATGAAAAGATGACTTGCAAAACTGAATTATGTTTGTGACTGACAAGATTAAATTAAATAAGGAGCATGTTTCAGTCTCCACTGACACCACTGTATTTGAACATGTGCTTGGTTAACTTACTACACTATATACTTTGAACACTCTAATACAGGAGATCTTATGTCGTGTGCACGTTACTCCACCTCGGGAATGGATAATGCTCGGATTAACCCACATCCTGTCTGTGAAAGTAGGATAGGGACACAAACAGGCCAGAGATCTCAGATTAGGCCACCCGGTATGCAGTCATTCTGTAGTAACTCTGGCTGTGACTGTGGGCCACCCACACAAGCAGCGCAGCGGCCATCATGTGGAGAGGGGAGGAGATGAGGGCCAAGTAGAGGGACCAGCCCAGGGAGCCGTCCACCTTATCAGGGAGCATGGACACTTTGTGGAGCAGGTCCATCCCAGCCAGGTAGCAGCACACGGTGGCTAAAGTGCAGATTCCTGCAGGACATGAAATGAGATGCTGCATACTTTAAAGTTTAACACAGAAGACAGTTGACTGGTATGACATGCGTGTTGTTCTACAGTACTAAACTGTTGACAGGGATATCCACAATCAAACCATTTAAAGTTTATCACACTTTATTAACTAATAAACACTAATTTATTTTCCAATTTTAATATGGTTTTAATTATAATCATTTTTATAATTATCCAAACCTGAAGTTAATACATTGAAAAAGAGAAAAAAGCCACAATATGATCAACTAATACAAAAATATAATTTTGGTTTTGCCTCTGTTTTGACAGTGGTTTCTGAAACTGGAAGGGTAAGGCCAACGTTATATGCAAATGATGAAGGCCGTCAGCACAGTATGGGGCATGTGTGTGAAAGTGTGACATCAGGTTGGTATCCCAGTGATTTTCTCTCACTGGCCTTACAAAAAAACCCCAATAAACTAATTATGTTTCCTCACAAATATTTAAACTCACAGGCAGTAGTTAAAATGTGATGGCAGCACAAACATATTAAGAGTCCTGGAGTCTGCACACACAGCTGTACACACGCAGAGTCTGTTTGTGCTGCAGTGTTGTGTTGCAAATGAAAGGGATGATCATGGTGGCAGTAAAATAAAACAGCTGCACAGCATCTTGAGTATCCTGTTACAATATGTAATTACAAGAACAGTCACACAGTTTACGATGACAATATCTCTGCAGAGATGGTCGGTTAGGCTTTTAACAAACATTAACAAAGGTTTATGAAGTAAAATAACTTTTTCAAATAATTGTAGGCAGGAGACGTAACAGACAGAGAATAGTTTCCATGATAGAGGGAAGAGCACAGTGGAGAACCAGTGACGTTGCTGATAATGAGATAATATAATAATATAATATGGAGATGTAGACACTTGGCTCATACTCTTTTTTCTGCTGCACGGACTTCTACTTTAACTTCCTTTTGCTAATTCTGCACATGCACACACACAGAACTAAGACCTGCTGCTACAACACATTCAGAGTTTTATTTTTTGAATGGAAGCAATGAATGATGATGACTATATTTTCAATCTTTGTTTTTTTTTTCAACAATTCCTAAACTTGTTCTGGATAAATACTTACTTCCAAAATAAAAATGAATATAAATGGTATATGAGGGATGAACCAATACAGATGGCAGTATGACAGTTCTTAGATTAACTGCACTGTGGATAAATGTGTTCACACCTCACTTCACAAGTCACCTTTTTGTTTAGAAGCATTAAACCAACATGGTCAGTTAATTTCTTTATTGACAGTTTGTCTACTGAAAAGCAGGAGACAATGTTTTCAATGGAGATGCACCAGCGGTGTAAAAGCTTTGCTCACTTCCTGTTCAGTTGGTTCTGTTACCTATAGAGGTTTAAAGACTTTTTTTCAGAAAGATTTCTTTCTGTGTGTATTTTTTCTGCTTGCTTTCCTCACTGTGGTTTGGCTTTAGATCACACATATTTGTAGTGCTCCTCACCCTATTTCCCACAGAGCAGTGCCACCTATATGACTCAGACTGTGAATATTTGTAACAGTACTACAAAAAGAAAACTTCTAAAGGGGTTCTTCTGTGAATCAAGTTTGAAGGTGAAGGTACAGTTTGTTAACAATAAAACAGCAAAAGTTGCCATCCTGTCTGTGACTGTGAACTGTGTTCTAACAAGGGTATGTCGTGTATAACTCATCTACTTCATTGTTGTTGCTGATTGCCTAATTACAGAGTTTGTAGACATAATGTATCAGATGGTGTCAGTCTAGAAGTCAAGCCAAGCACAACTCACCAGCCAACAAGTGAAGGACTCCAATGCCAAGGGTGGGGCTGAGACTTCCACAAAAACAGGCACATAAGCCAGTCAGCCCTGCCAGTAACACCAGGCCCAGGGAGACCAGTGGTAGTAGAAACTGACACCTCCACAAATCTACACACACACACAAACACAGGGGGGTCAAAAGTCACCACAGTCCCTAAGACCTTCATTTGAAACATTTTTTTCAGCATCAGCAATTGTCCCAGGAACTGGTTATAGAAGTGCGAGTAGAAAAATTATAGCCTGATGAAACATATAAACAAAGCAAACGTACAGGTACGTAGCATGTTCTCTCCACTGTTGTGGTTTCCTGGTTCTTTGTACTTGGGTGTAAACTGCTGAGGCAGAGTAAAGCTCCGACAGTCCAGCACCATTTTGGCATCTGAAAGAGAACAGTTGTTTGCATAGTGTCAGTCTACTACAGGGATGGCTAACACAAAGCACCATGAAAAATTGCTGCTTAGGAACTGTGAAGTCCCTCATGGTCCCCATCAATGACAGCACACAATGTACAAAATCTAAATCAAACTGAGACTGAGCCTTTTTGGTATTGCCCCCCCCCCCGACCCCCAGTCCAAGTCAGTGTGAATATGCTTTCTCAAATCTGACTTAGACCAAGAATTCATTCTACAGACATAACATACATAACATGACAAAACATTTAATTTTTACTTCACCTTTACTGTACAATGCATAGAAAACAGAGAACCAACTAACATATAAGTTAATAAAAATCAGATCAAGATTGATTCTGCTGGCTATAGCCACAATGCTGGAGATGTAGACACTTGGCTCATACTCTTTTTTCTGCTGCACGGACTTCTACTTTAACTTCCTTTTGCTAATTCTAGACCTAACTAACTAGGCAGTGCACATGCACACACACAAAACTAAGACTGCTGGCTATAGCCACAATGCTGGGCTAAATGGTGCATTTTACATCTTTGGGGTTAATTGTATCACTGCACAAATGAAAATGTTTTCTTTCTGGCCGAGTGGACATTCTCAACCTAAAGTGAATTAAAACGTGTGTCAGAAATACAACAGGACAGACTGGACTTTCAGCATTAGAAGGGATGGCAACCGAAAGGGACTTGTTAGAAGTGTAATGCACGGATATACTGTACAACATAGTAATTGAGTCTTTTAAATTTTTGTGGGTAAAATGCATTTGGTTTCTTCAGTGCTATTGTAATTGTATTATGTTATTATTGATGCTTTTTGATGTATATTATGTTGCAGCTGTGACTGGATTGTCCTTTGCGTGATGTGTGTTATTTAGAATGTAACCACACATTATACTACACTTCTTCATAGTATTGATGCTAGATTGTTCTTGAGACACAGTAATGTTGAGATGTGGATTTATTTAGGCAGGGCACTGAAGGCCTAGGTGTAAAATACAGGGCATACCACTGGTGTAAATAGATGTGCCGACAGATTCAACTGTACTGTAGTGGCAGTTGGATAAGACTTGTCTATTTCATATGCATGTAGGCAAAGGCCTGACTACAGTGGCAACGTGAAATATGATCCAGCAACGGGACAGGTGACACGGGACAGGTGACACACATCTGCATCATCAGTCGGTAGGGCGGTGCTTCTACACGCGGGAAGCTCTAGGGTGTGACGCCCCATTAGCCTGTACCCTACCTGGCTCTCTGTACCACACAGCGTTGGCAGGGACGATCACACACCGCCACCAGAGGCCCACTGTGCCGTTGAGGCGAAACAACGTGTCACTGTAAGTTTTCTCATCAAACTCCCCATCCATGAACTCCTCATACAGATTGCGCAGTTCGGACACGTTAGCTTCCCCGCGGACGGTGGGGCTGCTATACTGGTACCAGTGCTGCGTCCCGATGGCCACTGACAGATAAACGGTGGCCAGAAGGCTCAGCACACAGGCGATGACCAGAGCTGTGGCGTAGCGGTTGTCGACCATTGTTCACAAGGCCGAGCGCACGTCAAGAGATTTAAGTTGATGAGGTCCCCCGAATGTCAACTCCACGCCTCAATCTGATTAATCCTCCGGGCGTCGTGTCTATGACGCCAGTAAAAAAATAATTAATAAATAAAAATCGCGCCACGTTAAGTGCACAAACAGCAGCAGCAGAGCGATCTCTGTCTCTTTATTTTAACGGCTAGTGCTCATCCTCCATGCCATAACAGTCAGTTTCAGCCCCCCCAGCAGCGCGGCTTGGATGTGCCATCTGTCCCTCTGGTGACGAGGCGACAGATTGGAGACACGCAGTAAGCGCCACCCTTTATCCACAGCATGAGAGTTAAAATTAGATCACAACTGGACCAAACGACTACTCCTTATAGAGTTCTCGAACCCAATCGCAGTTGGCAGAGTCCTGTTGTAAACACCATGATCCATATATCTTCACGTTTCGGTTTTCGCACGCCCGTGCAGTTAACACTGAGGTTAAAGTGAAGCCCAGGAAGTAGACCGGAAGTAACTCGGGGTGGGGAGTTGGGGGGCGGGGGGGCAGTGTCCAGCAAAAACTCAGTTTAAGCTATAGATATTTAAGCTATAGTTCGTCCAGGTTATGTAGACATGTAATTGTGAGATACAAGAGTAATTGATGACAATCTATTATAATTGTTAATATTATTTCCTTAAAATGAAATTTTTTTCATAAAATTTTTTTCATAAAATTGTTATTTTTTTCAGGATATAATTTAAGAGATCTTGTTCTAAAACAAATATTTTGTCTGAAACCATTACGAAAAGAAACAACAACAAGAGTCACACGAGAAACATTTTATTTGTTCGCAATAATTAATGTTGCATAAGTGCAAAAAAAACATTTTTTTCCACAGCACTATTGCATGTATTGATGTGCACCATCAGTTCGCAGTTGGTAGTGACATTCTGTCCAGGATTCTTGATCAACAAATATTACTAGTTAGGTGCAACTGATGTATTTGTGATCTGTGCATTTCCCTTTGATGACATAGCAGTCATTCTTTCATGGAAGCTCCAAAGAATGTCAATAAATTACGGTTGTAGTGATAATAGCCATGATGCAAGCACAAGGGAGATTGATGGGATGAGACTTAATCCACTTGAAGCTAAAAATGACAGAAATATTTAGTTCGTTTTACAAATCATTTTCAGACTGAAGTCTTGAGAATGTAGCATTGTTTCTTACGTATGCCCTTTATGATGATGGAACTTGTTTCAATATGGAAGTCAGTGACGTTTGTAGCTGCATTTATTAAAACTTTTCCAATCTCAGTAATATTAGGTACAGAGACGCTTAGGAATTGAAGCTTCATTGTGTTGACGACTGATCCATTTCTACAAAAGTAGTCAATAATTATTGCATTAAAGAGCATATTCTTTTTTGAAGGACTCTTAAAATGCAACTTAAAGTTCAATATCAACTTACGCAAAGGATAGAACATCCAAAGAGTCAAAAGAGGGAAATTGTTTTCGGAACAAAGGGCCCAGCTGCCAAATTAGGAAAGACAAGACAACATTAAACACAAAAACCTTTTTTAAACATTAACATAAGAATATTCCATAAGATATGTCAAATAATGTTTTAAGGGACGACTCACCTGATTTTCTATATTAGAAGCCCGGCTTTTAAATGCACTAGTAGCTGGATCCAACAAGTCAATAACAAAGGTTTCCTGAGATCTGAAAATGATAAACACAGAAGATAGCGCTAAAGTGGTATTGGTCAATGGCGTTGCACTGGTAGTTGTTGTGATTGTGCCTGGTAAAGTGTTTGTTGTTATAGTTGTATTTGTTGCTGCTTCTGGGGCTGATGTAGTAGTACTTGTTGAGGCAGTTGTTGTAGAAGAGGGTATGGTAATTGATGTTGCTGCTGTGTGAGTGGTTGTTCCCACTACTATTAACAGTAGTAGTTGTCGCTCCAGAAATTGTTGGCAGTGTGATTGAAGTAGTATTTGCAGTGGTGGTTGTTGTTATAGGAGTTGTGGAAGTTGTTGTTGCGGCAATAGTTGTTGTTGCAGTGGTGGTTGTAATTGCAGTGCTGTTTGTTGTTGTTACATGAGCTGTGGCAGTAGTTGTTACAGCAGTGGTGGTTGTTGTTGCAGGCACAGTGGAAGTTGTTGCAGTGGGGGTTGTTATTATAGGAGCTGTGGACGTTCTTGTTGCAGCAGTGGTAGTTGTTGTTACAGGAGCTGTAGATGTTGTGGCAGTGGTAGTTGCAGCGATGGTGGTTGTTGTTGTGGCAGTGGTGGTTGCTGTTGGAGCTAAGGTGGTTGTTGTTGCTGGAGCAGTGGTGGATGATAATACAGGAGCTGTGGATGTTGTTGTTGTCGGAGTGGTAGTAGTCATAGCGGTGGTGATTGATGTTGCAGCAGTGGTGGTTGTTGCAGCAGGGGTTGTTGCAGGAGCTATGAAGGTTGATGTTGCAGCAGTGGTGGTTGTAGCTTCTGGAGCGGTAGTGATTGTAGTTATAGGAGTTGTGGACGTTGTTATTGCGGCAATAGTTGTTGTTGCAGTGGTTGTTGTAATTGCAGTGCTCTTTGTTGTTGTTACAGGAGCAGTGGTGGTTGTTGTTGTAGGAGTTGTTTCGGCCGTTGCTGCAGCAGTGGTTGTTGTTACAGGAGCTGTGGCAGTAGTTGTTACAGCAGTGGTAGTTGTTGTTGCAGGTGCAGTGGAGGTTGTAATTGTAGCAGTGGTGATTGTTGTTGCAGGAGCTGTGGAAGTTTTTGAGCCAGTGGTAGTTGTTATTATAGGAGCTATGGACGTTCTTGTTGCAGCAGTGGTGGTTGTTGTTACAGGAGCTGTAGATGTTGTTGTGGCAGTGGTGGCTGCTGTTGGAGCTATGGTGGTTGTTGTTGCTAGAGCAGTGGTGGATGTTGTTACAGGAGCTGTGGACGTTGTTGTTGTGGGAGTGGTAGTTGTCGTAGCGATGGTGGTTGTTGTTGCAGGAGCTATGAAGGTTGATGTTGCAGCATTGGTGGTTGTTGTTGCTGGAGCAGTTGTGGTTGTTGTTATAGGAGCTGTGGACATTGTTGCGGCATTGGTTGTTGCAGGAGTGGTGGTTGTTGTTATAGGAGCTCTGGACGTTGTTGTTGCGGAAGTGGTGGTTGTTGTTACAGGAGCTGTGGACATTGTTGTGGCAGTGTTGGTTGCTGTTAAAGCTAAGGTGGTTGTTGTTGTTACTGGAGCAGTGGTGGTTGTTACACAAGCTGTGGAGGTTGTTGTGCTTGTTGTTATAGGAACTTTGGACATTGTTGTTGCCGCAGTGGTGGTGGTTGTTGTTGCTGGAGCAGTTGTGGTTGTTGTTACAGGAGCTGTGGACATTGTTGTGGCAGGGTTGGTTGCTGTTAAAGCTAAGGGGGTTGTTGTTGTTACTGGGGCCAGTGGTGGTTGTTACACAAGCTGTGGAGGTTGTTGTGCTTGTTGTTTTAGGAACTTTGGACATTGTTGTTGCCGCAGTGGTGGTGGTTGTTGTTGCTGGAGCAGTTGTGGTTGTTGTTACAGGAGCTGTGGACATTGTTGTGGCAGGGTTGGTTGCTGTTAAAGCTAAGGTGGTTGTTGTTGTTACTGGAGCAGTGGTGGTTGTTACACAAGCTGTGGAGGTTGTTGTGCTTGTTGTTATAGGAAATTTGGAAATTTGTGTTTCCGCCGGGGTGGTGTTTGTTGTTGCTGGAGCAGTTGTGGTTGTTGTTACAGGAGCTGTGGACATTGTTGTGGCAGTGTTGGTTGCTGTTAAAGCTAAGGGGGTTGTTGTTGTTACTGGGGCCAGTGGTGGTTGTTACACAAGCTGTGGAGGTTGTTGTGCTTGTTGTTATAGGAAATTTGGAAATTTGTGTTTCCGCCGGGGTGGTGTTTGTTGTTGCTGGAGCAGTTGTGGTTATTGTTACAGGAGCTGTGGACGTTGTCGTTGCGGGAGTGGTTGTTGTAGAAGGAGCTGTGGAGGTTGTTGTTGCAGCGGTGGTGGTGGTTGTTGTTGTTGCTTGAGCAGTTGTGGTTGTTGTTATAGGAGCTGTGGACGTTGTTGTTGCCGGAGTGGTGGTTGTTGTTGCTGCAGCGGTGGCAGTTGTGGCAGTTTTGCTGGAGCAGTTGTGGTTGTTGTTACAGGAGCTGTGGAGGTTGTTGTTGAAGTGGTGGTGGTTGTTGTTGCTTGAGCAGTTGTGGTTGTTGTTATAGGAACTGTGGATGTTGTTGTTGCCGCAGTGGTGATTGTGGGTGCAGTGGTGGTAGTTGTTGTTGCTTGAGCAGTGGTGGTTGTTGTTACAAGAGCTGTGGATGTTGTTGTTGTAGCAGTGGTTGCTGTTGTTGCAGCAATGGTGGTTGTTGTAAGAGCTATGGAGGTTGTTGTTGCAGCAGTGGTTGTTATTGTTGTAGGAGCAGTTGTGTTTGTCGTATAATTGGCCGTGGTAGATGTTGTTGCTGCAGTAGTGGTTGCTGGTGTTGTAGTGTTCAGGGTGCCTACAGTCGTAGTTCCCATAGTAAAAAAAATCATATAATTCTACATATAATTTGCAGTTTAAACATTTTTACTCAAATGAAATTGCTTTAAATTTTGATACCGATAATGATGGAGGTGTTGTCAATGTTGAACCCTGTGACTGGAGCATTAATCAGAACGTCTGCAATCTGACTGTCACTCGGAACAGCTTCACTTTCAAACTCTGCATTCACCTGGTTTATGATCGATCCATCCCTGCAATATCAGTAAAAAAAAAAGTTCAGCCAAAACTTGGAATTTCATTTTGAATGTATGAAAAATGACACTTACAAAAATGACACCACCGTCAAAGAAATAAAGGAGTTGAATTGAGCTCTGAAAAGAGGTGTCAGCTGTCAAAAGAGAACATAGTTTTTCAAAAATCTTGATTAATTTTTTCCACAAACCTCTTTACTAATTTTATAAAATAGACAATGTTGCATATAAAATGTGATATTTACCTGTGACAATATTAAATTAGATCTGTTTCTAAAAGCCTCCGCGTGTGGATCGCGTAGATCAGGAATAAATGTTTCATCTGAGCTAAAATAAATTTGCAAAACAGAAACTGCCACTGTTAGAGTTGTTCCCACAGTGGATGTTGTTGCAGCAGTAGTTGTTGTAAATGGTGTAGAAGTTGTAATTGTTGTTCCAATTGTATTTGTTGTGGCTGCAGTGGTGGTTGTTGTTGAAGCTAAGGTGGAGGTTGTTGTTGTTGGAGCTGTGGAGGTTGTTGTGGCAGTGGTGGTTGCTGTTGAAGCTAAGGCGGTGGATGTTGTTGCTGGAGCAGTGGTGGTTGTTGTTACAGGAACTGTGGACATTGTTGTTGCAGGAGTGGTTGTTGTTGAAGGAGCTGTGGAGGTTGTTGTTGCAACGGTGGTGGTGGTGGTTGTTGTTGCTGGAGCAGTTGTGGTTGTTGTTACAGGAGCTGTGGAGGTTGTTGTTG